TTTACTTGTCTTCTCTGATGCTGCCACTGCTGGATTGTGAAATGTGTCAATAGTAGCTTAAGTCAGTCACTACTTAGCTGGCAAGAGAGAGTTAAGCTTTTAGCTAGCTGGCGGAAAGTTTCTAGAAACTGTAGAGGTTATAAATATTACCTCGTGTAAATGGTTGATCTGTTGAATAAAGTTCCAAGTTCTATTCTTTTTTTCTTTCTCCCTTACTCTTTTCCCTTCGCGGCTTATACCAGAGTGCATTTCTTGTCATTTACGTTCTTTGTTCTGTCTATTAATTTCAATCTCCCACTGTCTTGATAATCCCTCTCTATGCTGTCTAGGTTCCTTATTTGAAATAACATTGTCACTGGAATTTCTCCTTCTTCTTTTTTTGGTAGGATGCCCATGAATTCCTGAACTTCTTGTTAAATGAACTTGTTGACATTCTGGAGAAAGAGGCCCAGGGTGCAAAAACTGATCAAGATACCTTGTCACCTTCTGAAAAGACTGCAAATGGACATAGGAATGGTCCAACTAATGGTGCTCAAAAGGAGCCTTTAGTTACTTGGGTGCACAAAAATTTTCAGGTTACATTTTCCTGCCAGCTCAATGTTTTCCTTTTAGCGTTCTGCTTGGGGAGGAAGTTAGAGAGCATAAACTTATAATTTAATTTTGATCAAGCCGGTGTTCTTTTTTAATTGCGTTCATTTTTTCCCATTTTCTTTTGACTAGTTAGAAAATCAAGTTTGTGCACACCTTGCTACTTAATTATTTAGGTTTTTGACATTTTTGGATAATATTTTTATAATTTTATATGATTAATATTGGCTTGAGCTGGAAGTATTGCACAAGCAATACATTGTTTCTTTTAATTCTGTATAACTGACTTTTATAATCATACCTGATGAAAATATATTCTTTCAATTTTTCTTGTCAATGCTTATGCTTACTTCGCCACCCCATTATTGACTGTTTCTTCTTTGACCTCTTTTTTCGGGGTTGAGGGATTCGTAACCTCTTTCTTCAGTGTGTTCAGTTATTAAAATTTTCATATGACACTAAAGAATTCCATCATGTTTAATTTTTTTGACCAGGGTATACTCACCAATGAGACAAGGTGCTTGCGTTGTGAAACAGTGACAGCTAGGGATGAAACATTTTTTGACTTGAGCCTTGATATTGAGCAAAACAGTTCTATCACTAGCTGTTTGAAAAACTTCAGTTCCACGGAGACGTTGAATGCGGAAGACAAATTTTTTTGTGACAAATGCTGCAGGTAAATATGACTAATTCAGGGCACAAGTTTTATATTACTCCTCCGGTTCTTAATATAAAACCCATTTAACTAATTTGATTAGATTAAAGAAGTTAGGTAAGTTAGTTACTTATAAGAAATGTGACATATTTTTCCTAAAATACCATAATCATTTTTCTTAATCCCCCTCTTCCTCTTCTACTTAATTATGGTTGAAGGAATATCCATAGGAATAATTTAGAGAAAATTGATAAATATGAGAAATGGGTCTTATATTTAGGACCAAAATTAACTCAACAATTAGGTCATATATTAAGGATCGGAGGAGTATTAATTACCTGTGTTCTATTGTTATGGCATCAAATTCTACTTGGTTCCTTGAGTACTTTGAAGAAGGTAAAATGCCAGTGCAACCATTTTGAACTATGTGCTTATCTGAAGAGTTCTGCTGACTGCGCATGAGTTATACTGTGAAATGAATATTTGCGGGATGAAGCACAATTTTACATATGTTGAGTGGTTTCAATGTCCTTTTTTTAGTTTACTGAAATTTTGTATCTCTGACTAATAGAAGATAGATTACTACTTTATTTTTTATAATATTATCATGTTTACTGTTTCCTGATATATGGTTTTGACGTAATTTCTATAATAAATTGATGATGATTATATCATTATTCGTCTATTTTCCTCTCTAATGGCCTGCATCTGAATTTTCTTATGATATTAGCTTGCAAGAAGCTCAGAAGAGGATGAAGATCAAGAAACCGCCTCATATCTTGGTCATCCATCTTAAACGGTTTAAGTACATTGAGCAGCTGGGCCGCTATAAGAAGCTGTCTTACAGGGTTGTCTTCCCCCTTGAGCTGAAGTTGAGTAACACTGTTGAGGATGCAGATATTGAGTACTCTCTATTTGCAGTAGTTGTCCATGTTGGGAGTGGGCCCAACCATGGGCATTATGTCAGCCTTGTGAAAAGCCATAACCACTGGTTATTTTTTGATGACGAAAATGTTGAGATGATTGATGAATCTGCTGTGCAGACATTCTTTGGGTCGGCACAAGAATATTCCAGTAATACAGACCACGGGTACATTTTGTTTTATGAGAGCATTGGCTCTGGTAACAAGAACTAGACAGAGGTGCTCCACACTTTTGGTACTTCAATCATTTGGACTTGCCTTTTTCATCTGTTTTCTATGTTAATTATATTTTAAAATATTTACCTTCCTTTTCTCGTATCCAACCTGTGTGAGGAGCTGCTATACGTCCTTGTGAAGATACAGGTTGCGAAAATTTATACTTAGGTGGTTGATATGTACAGTGGATGGGGGAGCACACTATCTTTTTCACAATAAGAGAAGAAAGAGCAGTATATGATGTGAAATTTCACCAGCAATGTTAATCAGCTTTAGATGCAAAATGCAGTTGGAAGTGCTCGTAACTTATTTGTGGCTATTCTTTTTGACTGGTTATCTGTTTGATTATCTAATCAGGATCCTCTGTAATGTCGTCTTGACGAAGTGGAAGAGAAAATGGTGGGCTCCCTCTCTGTGCGTGTGAGAGCCACCGGGTGGGCTTACTTTTTCTCCTTTTCTCTTTTAATAATATACTCTTTTTTTTGCTTTAATAATACACTTGGGAGAACTTACTTCACTGATCTTCGTATGTTAAGGTAGAAACTGCTGTTACGTATATACGACATTTTTTTCCAGAGGGGAGGCGAAGGCTCAGCTGTTTGTAACATGATTACCTTATCAATCCGATTTTTTTTTTTTTTTGGGAATGGAAATCTGGATATCGTTATTTAAAGCAAAGGTTTACAACTAAATTCTTTCATGGCTATCCGCCTCTGGACACTGGTGGAGGTTGATTCAATCCGATTTTTAAGATATCTTGGGAGAACTTTACTTCACTGATCTTCGTATGTTAAGGTAGAAACTGCTGTTACGTATATACGACATTTTTTCCAGAGGGGTGGCGAAGGCTCAGCTGTTTGTAATATGATTACCTTATCAATCCGATTTTTTTTTTTTTGGGAATGGAAATCTGGATATCGTTATTTAAAGCAAAGGTTTACAACTAAATTCTTTCATGGCTATCCGCCTCTGGACACTGGTGGAGGTTGATTCAATCCGATTTTTAAGATATCGATTGGTGGAAAACGGTTTTTTTTCCCTTTTAAGTAATGATACTCCTTTTCACTCAGAAGAAGGTAGAAACTCGACCCGCTGCGTAGATTTCAAATCGTAAGAAACAAGATATAAAATAAAAAGAAAAACTACTATATTAAACCCCATTTTAAAAATAAGTTTATTAACTACAGTTCAGAATTGAACTCTTCAAATTAGATTCGGATGATTTAAATCTTATATCAGTAATAAGAACAAGCGCATGACCAAAAATTGGGTTTACTTGACAAGGTAGCCTCTTACAATCTGATAAAATGAAGTTTAAATTTTCGTTGAAAGAAGTGTTAATATTTAGTGTTTATTTAGAACTGAAGATACTTGTATGCATCGAACACATGTAGCCGAATCATACATTAGAAATGGGCCTGCACGAGCCCACCTGGGGACCTCCAACGTGTTTGGGCCCAAGCGTAGCCCAATGATACTCCTTCAGCTGGTAGCTTTACAACAAAACGTCCCAAGTGATTTAATTAAAATTGACCAACGGGACTTGGGTTAGCGGAAGAGGCTAGTCTCTCATCATGTGACGAACCAAAAATACTTATGTTTTAGAGAGAAGAAAAAGTAAAAATGACGCCCGCATAAATTTGAATTCCAATCCAGACTTGAGAGATCTTCAATCTATGCATGGATAAGGTCATTTTTGTCATTAAATTTTAGTGTAATATTATGGATTTTCTTATTTACTTTCAAAATATCATTTTCCTAATTTTCCCGGCGACACGTCACGAATGAGAGAGAAAGGTAGAGGCAGAAGTGTCAGTCTCAACGACAGACAAGAGAGTCAAGAGAATAATAGGAAACGAGCCCGTGACTGCCTCTCACTTCCTCTCGTGTCGCGCTGTGTTTTTCCTTCACATGCAGCCATTCCCAACACATCATCTCACCTATAATTGCTCAATGTTGCCCTTCCCCTTTTCCATATTTTCCCAACTCTACCTTTTCATTTTTTTTAAGTCCATTTTATTTCCTTTTTTCTTCAGAGTCATTCCCTTTCAAATATGACGACTGATTTCTCTAAAATCACACGCCCATCTACTATCCTTTCAAATAACAGCATAGAGCTTAAGCATTTATTAATGATTTTAACAAGTTAGGAGAACTTTGTTATTCTTCTTAACTGCTACTTACCAACTTAATTTCCAATTCTGCATTTTTTCCCATCCATTCTATCAAACATTGAAAATGCTCTTATATTATTCCTCTAATATATATTTTAAATTTTTATCTATTATAAGTATTATACACAAAGAAATTTGAATGAATTTTTTTAAAAAAAAGGTAGAGAAAACCAGGTTGGTATATTATTATATTAGAGATACAGATTACAGATTTCTGACAATTTTTTATTTTTTTCGCTTCCAAGAACTAAAAGCTCAATCAGAGAGAGGGGTATTATGGTGAAAGCACCAACGGAAAGGAGGGGAAAAAATAAAATTTGTCGTAATCGTGGACGACGACGTATTCAGGAGCTTTTCTAGCAAATCCAGGCAAGCCGGGTAGAATGGAAGGAGCTTCCTCTTTACACCTCGTCTTCTCTGATGTAACGTTTTCATTCACGGGCATTTCGGCTGCATTTTTTTTTTATAGAACCGTTTCATCAGTGAAGATCTCAGCTACTCTCACTTTATCTTTGCTTTCTCTCAATGATGGCTGTTGCTGCGTCCTGCGAGGTGATATTCTCGTTCCTTCTTTTAAATTCAGGACGATTTTTCCATCTAATTTTCACCTGCTATAGATTTACTTCTGTATTTGCTAGCTGCACTTGAAGTTTAGTTGCCTCACATGACTATTATCTGAATCTGAAGATCAGTCATATCAGCCACTTGCTTTAGTTGCTAACAAGTTGCATTACGAGAAGAAATAAAAAATGTGTGTAGAAAATGCTGGCACTTTCCAGCTTTTGATGGAAGACTGGAAGATGGAAATCTCAGCAAGAGTCATGCGTGAAACGATTTTATTTTGCTTTGCCTTCTATGCTTACCATTTAAAACATTAAAATTGACCAACTCTTAAGAAACACCAACACTGACTGAGGCAACTTGCTTGAAGTCTCGTTATGGTGAAAGTTCAAAGGTGCTCAAGAGACGCACTCTTCGAGCTTTTCCTTCTAAGTCATGATACGAGGCTTCATTGATTTCTATCAATCATCTGTCAAATTTGGGGATTATTCTGACTTGCAGTTTATTTGCAGGGAGAGCCTAAGATTCGGGAATTTCTGGATAGGAATGGCAGCCTACCTGTCAGTTGTTCGTGTCTGAAGTTACTGAAACCAAGTTCTGATGAAGTTAAACAACGGGTTCCTTTAGGTAACACTTTTTTAGATTACTTGCATGTTGGAAGAGCAGAAATGGCTCCAATGATTACGCTGACTTTCCCTTCCATTTCAGAGGTTCCGTCAATACTTTTTGAAGAGGCTTCCCCCCCAGCCGAATTATATCAACCCTTACACAGTTCACTTGTAAGTCCGTCTTTTTCTTATACAGTTGTCTAACCTTTTCCTTTAATTTTTAATAATTTACCACCGCACTTTAGTTTGCTGAGTGTTGAGATCGAATTTAGAATCCATTTTGCTTTCAGACATCAGGCTACAACATCAACTATATGCCTGGTGAAAGTGAAAATGAGAATAATGGAGGAGAGTGAGTCAAAGGTGAACATGCATCAAGGCATGAAGTTGCCAATGAATTGAAACTACGTAAAAATCTCATTGAATTTTTTGTGCAATGGATTAATTTTAGAGAAGTCAGTAGTTTGACGTGTGAGGAGGCAAAGATGATGTTTCTATCTTGGGATGTGTCAGAGGAAGCGTGTTGGCCTTGGCCCTAACTTCACAAATCTTGTTTCAACGTATTGCTTTTCTTTTTCTCTCTGAACTGCTTGACCAGCTTTTACCCATCAAAGGTTTTGGACTTAGGCAGAGCTCAATATTAACTCATCTGAAGCGCCTCCATTTCTGCAGGATCAAGAATTGTATAGCATTTCAGTATTGCCTGACGAAGATGACAAGGCAGATTGTGCTTCACCGCTGGCTTTCTTCAGCATCTTAGAAGTTCCTGATCAATCTGAAAGTCCCATGAGTTTAGATGCTCAAATAAATTGCCACAGTTGCATTGATTTCCAAATGAAGAGCGAAGAGTTGTGTTCCTCATGCACAGTTGATATACCCACTGTGAATGGAAATTCAATCTCGCCTGAATCCTATGAAGAGGGGGTTGAAAGTTTTAGAACCAAGAATTTTCTAACAGTAAGTCTCATAAGCTCATCTTCTAAATGTATGATTCATAAGATAGCCTTCAACTTCTGTTTTAAATCCTGCTTGTGTGGGATAAAAGCAACAGAAAGAGTTGCCTTTGACTTCTGCCTTCTTTTCCCCCCCACTTTTTGCTCTCCGTTTTTTTTTCCCTTTTGGTGGCTATTCTGATATGAGAATTGGCACTGCACAATATTGCAGAGGGTGTTGTGGAGACAAGCTAGTTTAAAAGTAGGCGGAAAACTCATGCAAATTCTGACGAACCTCGCCACTTCACGGGGTATATCTAATACTTTACTCTTTTGTTCTCTTGTGGAATAATATTGTTCGATTAATCGAAAAATAGTTTAGGAAACTGTCCGAATAGTTTAGACCTAGAGGAAATTTTCTACTTGACAAATCTGGTGTCTTGACAAGATTTGATTGTATTCGAGCTAAGGAGAGCCAGCCTCCCGAAATGAGGAACAAATTCAATTTACAAATTTGAAAACTTAATTTGAGCCAGACGGATCTTTCTGGCTAGAATTTTAGATCAACCTTCAAATCATATTCATACTGTTATGTGTTTCTAACTGAATACCCAAGCGATATAGATCAATTTTAACTATCATATTTTGTAAATTAACAGCTACATCAGTCACTGAAAAGGCACACGATTTACCAAGCATCAGATGGAGAAGATATAAGCGTTCTGCCTCGTTTGATTCCCGTAAAGTTGCTCTTCTCTTTTCAATAATATTGTAAGTTCTAGACGTCACAACACAGCATTGAACACTGCAACTCGGCATTACCGCCTTCTACAAGCTAGCATTCATTCCATCAAAGTTTTGAATAAGTCCTGTTTGATATGACGTATTTAAGAATGAAAGGTACGAATTGTGATTAAAAAAATTTATGAAAACCCTGTTTGGCATCACGATTATAAAAACTTGTAAACATGTTTCATATAAGACAAAATTACTCTTCACTTATATTTACTTCGTATTCTACAAATCATGATGATTAAACACTTTTTAATTGAATTTTTTAATTTTCAATCACAATCTCAATTCTTACCTCTCATTCTTAATATTTCATATCAAATGAGAACTTATAAGTTTATTAGAATTGTATTATTCATAATACACAATTCATTTATCTAATGATTTCTCTGCAGGTCCAGCGTGGGAACTTTGGTGTTGATATATCTAACGTTAAAAGTCAGGCAAAGGGGTGATGGCTTTGTTCTTATTTGATGGTCCGATCCCCACTGCATATACTAGTCACTTGTAGGTTTGCTCTTCATTGTTTGATCCGAACTTGTCCCTTGATGTGTAATGTATGGGAAATATTGGCATTTAAACATATGATTGACTTTTGCATTCTACCATAAAACCCCTTCGATTTTTGCAAATAAAGTCATGTAAATCGTATGAAATTCTGCAGCCCCCTAACTAATACTTCTCCAGTCCTAAATACAAGATTTTTTTTGTAGTGTAATTTACACTACAAAAAATCTTGTATTTAGAACTGAAGGAGTATTATACTACAAAAAAAATGTTATATTTTAGAACCGAAGAGTACTAAATTAGTGCCTAATCCCCTCCAGAAGTTCAGAAACTAAACGCGCCGCCTTCAAGTCCACCTAAAGAAAACTTCCTATCAGCGGGGGTTTTCCTTTCTTTCTTTTTTTTGGGGGGGGGGGGGGAGGGGGCGCAGGGAATACCCAGATGGATAGCAAGCCTTATCTTACATCAAGATTCCAAGACCAACACTGCTATTTGTTTCCCTAACCAAGTAACCGCAATGGGCATTTGTATGACTGGACAGATTTTCTGTAGCCACAACTGAATTCTTTTCGCCAAAACAAACATCTGTCTATTCTATTGGGATTTTTCTTTTTTTTCTTTTCTTTTTGGGGGGGGGGGGGGGCGCAAGAGACGCTATTGGCAATTATATTTCTCTAGCATGCGCAACCGCCTCCTTGCTGCTCTGTCTGAGATGAATTGGCAGTGGGTTTCAGATTCACATCGACCATATCTTCCTGTTTTGCGGATGAAAGAGTTTCCATCCCATCCCAGGCAACGCAGCAGCAATCTTACGAAACAGAGGCTGTAATTTTGCATTTGCAGAAGACATTAAAGACATGAGAAGCGGATTGGAATCATGCCAGGTTTTCTAGACTAATATAATTAGATCACAGACATCAGAGTTCAGAAGGATGTTCTGATAAACCGAAAAATGGAGATTAAATTGAGAATTCGTTAACACTTCACCTTGATATTGAAGCCTGCTTTTGCACTGGTCTCTATGAACATGACTCCTAACTCACGAGACTTGGCCTCCCCTTCTTCTATAGAAACTTGCCTGCTTATGCATCCAAGCATTATGATAAAATTTGCCTAGTAAAATCACAAATACTAGAACCAAAAACATAATTTGCATCCTACCTGGTAACTAAAGCTAACAACATACCAACTATTTGTAACTATTGATATAATCAAATTTTTTATTCTAAATTCTAAATACCATCTAGTAAATAATATTTTGATAGTTATAGAGTAATATTGAACAGATTTTAGCATATGTGAATTTTTTTTTAATATAAAAAGTTCAGGTGAGTTGGGTTTTAAGGGTCAAAACATACTTCCGAATTTAAAGAACACTTATAAAATTACTTGTAGATTGTTTATCAACAAGATTCTCATATCGATAGTGTCGGGATTTAAACTCCAACTATGGCAAATTGATAAGCCCATACGAATACAAAAAGTTATTTATTCCATTTATTGTTAAAATTAGTATAACTAACCATGTTTAACAGGATTAACAAATCTAGTTGCTAAGCAATAAGCAGAGAATTTCTTATTACAACATAATTTGGAGAGTTCCTTTCTGCTAATGGATACACAAATCGTAAGTCTTACCATACTTTAATGATAAAGCATATCCATTCACAAAAGAATCGAGACAATCAACTTCAGTGCGAGGGATTCATATCGCTCACCTCTTCTCAACAAGATCAGTTTTGTTTCCCACTAAGACAATGATAACATCACTACCGCGTTCTGTCCGTACCTCCTCAATCCACTTGTTAGTGCTCAGAAATGATTGCCTGTCTGCATCATAACAGCTTTATAAGAAACTTAAACAAGTACAATAGGTTTTGACAGATTGCCAATCTCATAACCAATAAAAAGATGGAGTGTAAAGCAAATCCATATGCTCATGCACACACATTAGAAATAGAAAATTAGATAGAGCACAAGAGAACAAACGGTGAAGTGTGTATTGTAATTCATAACTCCAAAATCCTCTTTCAAAACATTATAAAAGCTTTTCATTAGATGAAAATAGGGGCAAAGAAAAAAAATTACTACTCACTAGATACATCATATACAATAACTGCGACAGAAGAATCTTATGTAGCTTGGAATGAGACTTCTAAATCTCTCTTGCCCTGCAGTATCCCTGCGAGGTTAATATACAATAGATTGAGAAAACATAAAAGAACAGACAAAGTAAAAGCAAACGCCTACGCCATGCGCACCAGAATATACTGATGACGCCACAAGAGATTTCAGATCAAATCAGTGACCCGACATCCAATTTCTCTTGACAATGTTAATAAGGGAGCAAGGTTAATTCATGAAGTGGAATGATCAAAAGCCTTTACTGAAGTGAAAAATGAGAAAATAAAAAGGAAAACCTTACAGCGCTTTAAACAAAGAAAGCAGTTCGCAAATCTCCTGTACAAACTTCAATATAATAGATCACCTAAGGAGCAACCTATAACTCATTGCTCTCAATTTTCTTTTTCCACTTCCTTTTCTCTGATCTATTCGCTTTTTATATTCGTTCTAGTGGCATCTTCTTCATCAATTGCACTGATTCTAAGAATTCAACATCACTAGTGGCAATTCCTTATAGGTTTTATATAAATTAATGAATTATTAATTAAAAAAACAAAAAGGGATCGGCTGGTATATCACTTGAAGAGGAGCCTACCAAAGCTGCAAACGAACCGTTCGATCTTCAAGGTACATGGTTTTTGACAAAAAGTCAATTCCTATAGTAGCCTGAAAACCAGATGAACAAAATATCTGTCAAGAAACTAGCAGCCAAAAAGGGAAAAAGAATGAACAAGGGAGAAAACTTGAAGGAATAATAATTCAACACCCTAAAACCTCATTCATCTAATATCCATTAATCTACCTACTCGCACTCCTCCAAATCCTAAGCACATCTTGTAATCACAACAAAAACGCAACGGGTTCTTTTCTTTTCCTTCCCAATACGGGCATATTTAATTTCTGATATGTATCAGATTGATCCGCGTAAATCCAAATAGAGGCATGCATATTTGTATCATACATCGGAAATGTAATATCTGATAACATGGAAAGACAAAAGAGATCAACGGCATAAATATGCTACTTAAAAGAAGAACAGAGTTTTGCAATTTGTTTCCCTCCTTCTGCGCCGAGAGCTTGAATCCGTCCATTTCAGTGGAAGAGAAGTTGAACTGCATGAAATCAAATTGAGAAAGTAACGAAGAGAAGAGATTGGGAATGACCTGGTAGGTGGTGTCGAATTTGTCATACATGAAGCGAGTAATGATGCTGGTTTTCCCAACCGATTGATCACCCAAGAAAACGAGCTTGTATTTGGCGAGAGGGGAGACCGTCGCCATTGATGGAGATTGTTACGAAAAAGAGAATCCAGGAAGCAGTAACTGATTTATGTAACGCAAACAGGTCTCAGATCTGAATCTCCTAAGTTCTCATAGGAACACAGCGCGAAGCGGGAGAGAGACGAAAAGTCGAAAACGATGACTCCCGGCCAATATCGAGTGCGATGGGTTTATAAATGGGAGAAGAACAGAACCCGCCAACTTTGACGTGGAAGCCAACAGCTGGGCCTACACTGGCATGTCTGATCCGGTTATATTATATCGGGCAGTGTAATTAATAAAAAAGTCGGGTTGAACCGTCCAACGGGTTACTTTGGAAGTAAGCAAACTAAACGCAAGCTTATTTAGTCTGGTAGTTATTCATATAAATTACTCCTCCCTATTTACAAATAACTTCCAACTTATTTTATACAGAACCAAAAAAATTTAAATTTTATTAACTCTCATTAAAATTCAACAACTTTTTAATTTATTTCTATTTAATTTACATTAAAAAAAAATGGCGTATTCATATAAAAAATGTCTCTTAATATCCTATAAATACAACTAGAAAATGTCTCTCTGTCCGATGAGTATTACATACCCTGATGTTGATTTTACAAAAAACGCCAGCTGTGCATAACAGATGAAATTACTCGACTTTCCATGAGGTGAATAAGAACTTAATTTTTAAATAATAGTGTTACTTATCAGGTGCCTGCTGCTCCAAGGAAATCCTTGGATATGAGTAAAGACAAATCCTTTTGCTGGCTCAATGAAAATATGAGTAAATGCCGTCCATTGTGATAATAAAAGCGAGTTAAATTAGTTTTTTAAAATCTACCAAAGTATACATAATTTCTCTTAACATTTCAACATGTATTTAACAAATCTGTCTAATTTTTTTTAAAACAAAGAGTAACGTTTGGGGAATGTTGATCACTTTATAAGAAGAGGATATATAACTCTGTCGATTTCTCTGCCCCAGTCCACATGAACAAGTGCTCTCTTTCATGAAGTTGCAAGCTTAGGAATACAGCTAAGGTTGCGTTTGAGAAGAACATGATCTTAGAAAGCATCGGCTAATAAAAAAATTAGAGAGAGAGAGAGAGCCCGGATCTGGCATTTTTATGCCCGATGCCATAATGTAGTTTCTCTCACCGGTGGAGAATATGAGCACGTCCTGACACCAGGATAAAGTCACAAAGTTGCATGGTTCATCCAAAGAGTGGTGTAAGGATTCTGATTCCTCGTGCAGTCCTCGACCTCCATGTCATGTGCTGACCAAATCCCTTCCCCTCTCCCGCGGATCCAACAACACATCAACCAAAATGATTGGGAAAGAAATCCATAATCCATTGATGAATGCGCCTTTATTCATGGGAAACAATAAATGCAGCGAAGGCAATGGCATCTATATTCCATAGACTGTGAGTTCGCAGATAAAATCATAGGAAACACCTCTGGTAGACCAGAGAACTCGTTCAAATAACAATGGTTTATCCTGCGGGGCTAAAACGAAGCAACAGTTTCTATAAATGAAGAGCAGCTGTTCTTTCTCTTTAAATAACACGATTGTGCAGGTACTCACAAAGTCATGCAACAAAGTGATTTTGCTGAATTTAACATACAGCCGGTGTGTTGTTTCCTGCTTAAATGGAACTTTCAACAATTTTATTCATCGAGCAACAACATAGCCATGATTGAATAAATGATCAACTTCAAAAAACCATCATAAGTTTCAAATGGGGAAAAGAAATCATCACTAGCACCTGGAAAGCAACATTTGGGCCTTCAAATTTCAAAAGCGAAATGTTCCCTACACTACCTAGCGCTACCAGCACCAGACCTCATGCTGCTCCAGGGAAACTTGGCAACACCCTCAGCACGACTCGGCCTTCGACCGTTCGAGCCTTCTCGAGCTTAAACCCGGCAAACTTGGCAACACCCTCAGCACGACTCGGCCTTCGACCGTTCGAGGCCTTCGACCGTTCGAAGCTTCTCGAGCTTAAACCCGGCACCCTCTTCTGATCAAGCCAATGCCTCTTGGTTTCGCCTTCCTCAACAACGCTCGACTTGGACTGTTTGTTAGCCCGTTTCTTGTACTCCTCGATGATGCGAAGCGGATAAAGATCCGGCGAGATTGAAAGGGGGGTTCTAAGGGTTACATAGGCCTTCTTATAGTCGGGCTTTGCGATCAACAAACCACCGCGCTTCTTCTTTTTCCCCTCCATGTTCAAAGTTCGTACTTTTCGACGTCAAAGCCGTACAGGATTTGCAAAGTGAACGACCCTCCCTCCCAATCGGCTTCCCATGATCTTGGATTTCCAGTCGGCGGCTTCTACTCTCTGCGCTTCCAGTTTCCAGAAAGGAACAGAGCCCTTTTAACCGCGCCGCGGTGCGACGCCGGGTGCCCGCATCCTATCTATTTATTGCTTTTATTTGGACAAGTTTTCTTTACTATGAATGGGCCTGCCCCATGCCTTTGAATACACTGGGCTTTCATACACAATTCAGCTCATTTGTAACAAAAAACTCTGCTACAAATAGAGGTTAGGTCTAGGTCTAGCAGAAGGAATTAGTCTCTCACAACGTAACGAATCAAAATTTGAATTTTGTTTGGGAGAATATTTACATTTAGTACTCAACAGTATCTCGAATAGGATTGTCTCTAATAAGAGGATACCTACGCTTTAGTAAAAAAAAAAACTCTGCTTGAAGAGCAGGAGAGGTGTGGGGCGTGCGAGAATTGTGTCTTTCCGATTAAATATTCAGTTGACATTGATTAAGAGAATATTTGGATGAAAACTAAATCATAATTTTAAAAATAATTTACTATACACGAAATAAATATGTGAAAAATTTATATCGATTTGTCAAAAAGTACTTTTTAAAAACACATTTATGTGTTCCCAATACCCCCTAGACTATATATACGCTAGTAGAAATGTGTCCATTTTATGCCAAAATTTTATTTTAGTTATTACAATTTTCTTGGAAGTCTGATTTATTACAGATTTATTTACCTTTCCATCCCAAAAAATATTGATATTTTAAAATACTAAAATTATATTAGTTTAATATAAATTTAAATTTAAAACTTACTCAAATTTTGAGTGATATCTCTTTTATTAAATTTACAATTTCTTAAAAATCATGCAATTATAATTACGCACTCTAGGCAATGGATATTACCATGAAATATGATCTATTTGTTCTGTCATTTGAAATGATGAACCACGTTTCTCTTTTTGATATTTTCATCCAGCTAATTGGGTTTAGGGTGATGAAGCATGTTTCTCTAGTTGTTTCATTATGTTAACATATGCTCCAGTACCCAAATGAATACTTCTCTTATTCTTAATATAATACCTAATTAATTAATTAGAGTAAATTATAAATGTTAGTTAAATTAGTTAATATGATGTTTTTTAAAAAATATCCTAATCATCTTCGTTAATTCTTTTCCTCTCTTTCCTACTGATTATTGTTGAAAGAATATCAATACATTTAACTTTATATATATATAAAATATTAACTTTCTAATTAGGTAGGAGGAGTATTTAAAAAAAAAAAAAAAAAAGCATTGGATGCATGAATCGGCCCATGCTCGGAAAATAACAAGTTGGCACGTGCTTTTCATATTCGATATAGCAATGGATAATTTATAATTGCGATATCGGATTTGAATCTCACGTCGTACGGATTAAGGTAGGCCTGGAAGGGAAGTGGAGGTGTCTAGTGGACTCACCTCCATAAGCCATATTACTACCGCCCTTATCATAACATTTTCTCATTTAGCGGGCGCATAGAACATTCTTTGCATTTCTTGAGCTTAATTCTTACATGAGAAAGTTGTTCGCTCCATTGTTTTAAAGCAACTTGGTTGGTGCGTCAATGTTTTTATTATCGCGTTGTATATATAACCATGGCAGTATCAGTATGCGGCGTGTCGGTGAGCCTGAATTTAAAAGAGAGAAAAACGTTTCAAAAACTCTTACAAGCTCTTTTATGCTGAAACGAGGGATGAATTTACACTTCAAAAGTCAATGAGTAATGAGTAGAAAACAGACAAAACTGATGATTATCTTGGACCAAAACCAATGAATTACCACGCGCGCAACCTTAATCACGAATTAGTAAATTTCTGTGCCTAGAAAGCTTCTAAAGCTGCAGCAATAACAAATATGTCATGATCATGATCATGGCCTAATTCCTTGCATCCACACTCCTCCCGCTTCTTCATCGACCTCCTTATCTGGTTCTCCATCTCTGAAGCCGACGGCACTTGAATTTTGATTTCCACTTGCAGCTTAATTGGCTTGACACCATTTTCACTCTCCAGATCCATCTTCACCCATTCGTTGAACTCCGTGTTTGGCGATTCAAAAACAACTTTCCATGGAATCTCAGCCCTTCCTAGGATACGTGAACCCAAGATTTTCCCTAGAACAAGGGCGGTGTTGCTCTGACGGACCTCCAACACGATGCTTTCCTGCTTCAGGATCTCCAAGAATTCCTCGGTGCACGAACAATCTAAACAGAAGGATTCATCCCAGAATGAGGCAGACTGGAAAGAGATCTTTTGGGTGTCCACTTGAATTCTTTTGTTGGTTCCTGCGGAAAGATAAAACCTGGTAAAAAGGCTTCCCTTTCCCTTGGAATTGAACTCAACGTTTTGAGCTTGTATTATTCTCAGTTCACAGCTGAAGGAAGGAAATTTCTGAGACAGACCCATTGGGAAGGAGGAGCACAATGATTTCTAGTATTACAGACGGGCAAGCTAAGGAGCTCTGGGGAGAGAACGTGGAAGGCTTTGATGCATATATAGTGTGTGCATAATGGAGTGAAGTTGGCATATATTGCTTTCTAGGATGCCGATCTTCTTTTACAACACTATAATATGGCTAATTGGCTAGCCGACCACTACCTTACAGTTCTTAAATGATGATAATGGCAGTGCACGATTTAATCTTTGTACAAAAGATTGAGCCAAATATTATATCTTGTTGAGCAGATCCGATAACGATATTCTCCAATTTATTAAATAAAAGGGATCTGTTATTTGTCTCATAATCCACATTATATATGTATAAGCCACTTTTTGTGTATTTAGCTAATTATTAGTGTTCTCTAATTTGATTGGGAAAAAAAAAGTACTGTCTAATTTGAAACTTTTTACTTACAAAAAACAATCATAAATGTGATTAAAATAGATGCATTTTTCTATGTTTTGCACATAGTTTGAATGTGAAGTAAGCCTTAATATGGTTGCCTTATAAATAATAGCATTGCATTATACTCTTCTGGTTCTATTTATAAGGCACTTCTAATATATTTCATATAAACTGAAAAAAATTTAAACTGCATTCACTCTCATTAAAATATAATAACTTTTCAACTTTACCTTTTAATATATACACTTTTTTTGAAAAAAATAACTATCTACATTATAATAAATAAAAGATAAAATAGTACATTCATACTAAAAATTTAATGAAGTGACTTATAAATAGGATCAAGAAAAATCTTCTCTCTCTACCTTATAAATAGAACCAGAAAAGTAACTAATATTGATATGTGGATCAATAATTAAAAATAATTCACTGAAAATTTAGCCTTGAGTAAATGGTTGAAGATATTTTACTTCTCTAAAAGACGGAACATATTATCGCTCTTAATGTAATTTTTTATATAAAGCAATGTTTTCTAGTTTTAAAATAGAAGGACTAAATTAAAATTTTTAAAAAAATCAGAAAGAGCTCAAAATATATGTTACTTGTGTAAAAGACGGAACATGTTATCGCTCTTAATGTAATTTTTTTTTAACACAAAGCAACGTTTTCTGATTTTAAAATAGAAGGACTAAATTAAAAAGTTCTTAAAAACTCAGAAAGAACTAAAAATATATTTAAACCTAAAGAAACCCTTTAGAATCTCGAAGGGCTAGATCTCCTAAAACGACGTTTGCAAGTTGTAGGGGTGCTGGGTTACCATTCATCAGTTGCTGTGGGGCCAAGAAGGAAAAGGAAGGGTAAAGAATATATTAATTGCTACCAATGGTGGGTTGGATACTTTGTGTTTTTTTTTAGGTCAGATGGTGGGTTGGATACTTTAAAGGAATGTTTGGGTATGGGTATACGTCGTAGGCTCTTTCAATAAAATGAAAACACTGAGTACTAAATTTCATTATTAATGTAAAATTTAATTAACCAATTTAAAGAAACTGAAAAAAATTCTTAAATTACTTTAAAATTTCAAACTATTTATATTATTTTTTCCAAATTAATTTATCTCATTTTTTTAAATTAGTATATAATCTAATAATCCACATAAAGATTTCAGAAAAATCACATAATATACACTATAATTAAGTAACTTAATAACTTTTCTAGTATCTTTAAATTAATCAATTAGATCTTATATTAAAAACCAGATAGAATAAAATAAAATACTGTTGGGATTCCAAACCACTTATTATACACAAGTAACATACAAAGCTCATAAATTCACACAATTCATAATTCAAAAATTATGTTTAGATATTTATCATTTAAATTGTAATCACTGTTGATAGACAAGGAAAACGTAATTCAACTAGATAAAGAATTGCTTACACAGATGCAGGATCATCCTGTTCTTTACCTTCCCGCCTTATTAATAAAATAGTAATAATCATTACATCCTATAGTTACAAGATATGAATCAATATCAACTGCCAAAAGAAAAGAGGAAAACCTGTACATGAGTGATCTCCTTATCCTACAGAGGTCACGAATAGGTTTGTATGATACAACTTCATGACATTGACTATTTCCGCTTTTTAGCGTCGATGGCACCCATACAAGTCTACGGGGCAAAATAATGAACCTTCAATATTGGAAAGCCTAAATAAAGGAAAATATAGGACTTTCATCGGCAGAACTACTATCCACCTTCCAGCAGCCAATAAGTACGCGGATGACTTGGATTAATATCGCGAGTAACTCAACGGGAAGATCTACAGCAACACTCCCTCAGAATCATTGCTTGATCAAACGAAGCTCCCAATTACCCTCACCGTCAATCAGCCGTAGTTCCATAGAATGGTAGGGTATCAAAGCAGGACGCTGAGGCAGGAGTAAATATGTTTAGTTTGATCAGATTAGAAAGTAGTATGTACGTTTAATTTAGAGAAAAAAAGACAACGAATGCATTGTCATGTGCCTCATCAAATAATGCAATGAACATAAAAATCACATCAGGGATCAATATTGACCGAGGATCATGCATGTAGAATATCCGCGCAAGTATATGGTATTCATCATGTGCCTCATCATAAGCCACAGAAGATTGTACTTTCTTTGTTGTCGTACTATAATTTCCACTGATACTTACTTGCGAGGATGTAACAAATGTAATTCCCATATCCCTTGCCAGCCCATACAAGTGTTCTTCAACATCAACACTAGTCGCGCTGCCAACAATTTTTATTTTTTCAGACAAACAGGATAAATCAAGAATAATAATGGATATGATAATTATTTGTAGAGAGAGACAACGGTAATCATCATACGTACTTGGTGCACTCATCGAGGATGCCAAATTTAGGCTTGTGAAAGAACAAGCGTGCCTAACAAAAAAAATAAAAATAAACAGGGTGAAATGTTAAAAATCCAAACGAGAAGTCATTTTAAAATATGCGCAACCACTTCCTCTAAGAAATGTACTTTAAAGCGTATACTAAATCAGAAAAATAACGCACTCAAACTTTGACCCGTTCCATTTCAAATTCCTGGGAACTAATATTCACATACCATGCCCAGTCTCTGCTGTTCCCCAAGAGAAAGAATATCCTCCCAGTTTAGATTGGCATCCCAGCCACTTTTCTCCCTTTCCAGAAGATAATTCAACCGCACATTCTCTAGGATAACTTTCAAGCGTGTCTCCAACACATTTCTAGAGTCAGCATAACTTTTATCTGAAAAAGCAAGTACAGTGATCAGAACATCGCAAAATAAAATATAGATAATGAATCGACCCTTGAAAGCAATTGGAAGAGAACCAGAAGTGATGATTTGTTGACTAGAACGGCAGAATTTGCTCCTACTAAATTTATTGACATGAGAAACCTTCAACAGAACACAAAACACAGCAAAATACTAGTCTCTTCACACCATTATATATGCGCAACTGCAGTGACGTAATGCCCAAACGAAGTACTGCTACATAAAGTATTGCTGAAATACAAATTCTATGCTTATACCTATAGCTAAATTCCATTTTACTTTTTATTTCTGGGGCATCTCATTTCCACTTGCCAACATAGTTACCTTTTCCATCTATCTTCAATGCTCTAAGCTCTGCTTCCTCACGTGACAGAGGGTAAATTATTTGATCCCTCAGGGTTCCCAGGCATGTATAAGGCCGCTGAGGAACATAGAAGATACCACAACCTGACCCAGCCTCTTCATCCACATCTTCAGATGGTTTGGAAAGTCTTCCACTTGCAACAGGCCAAAGTCCTCTAAGAACTCTGAAAATGGAGCTTTTTCCACTTCCGTTTGGACCTTTTAAAATATGATAAATGCAATATTTAATAATCAATTACAAGAGAATTCATTTCACCATAGGAAACAAATTACAATGATAAATGCCAACCAGTAACAAGCAGACTGCCCCCCCGCACTATGTCACATGTCAACTCCCTGGCCAGCATCTTTTGGGCTGGGGTGACTATATCAACCTTAGAAAAGGACATTACATCTTTAGTTTGAACATCCCTCATCCTTGTTGGCGTGAAAGCACCACTCATAAAATCTCCTGTGTGGTCAAAGATCTTATTAGAATATGATGACTCTTGGCAAGAACAGTTAATGCAGCAGAAACAGACAAACATTTTTTAGTAACTTGCCTAGTGAAAGGGGAAATAGAGAAGACATACCAGATTGTGTTGCGTCGAGAAGTTCCTCAAGCTCAAAAATCCGGTTGATACCACCAGAGAGCTCAATGAACTTTCTATGCAGTTCAAGAATATCACCAAAAGCCAAAAAGCTTTGAGAAACAACAGATGCTAAGAACCTCAAAGCATGAGCCAGCTCACCTGTAAGAATAATACTGTGTTAGCACAAGAGGAAAAGAACCAGGAAGAGATGAAGATTAAAAAGAATAACTGTAAGCAGTCAAGATAATATTACCTTGCACGGATACTGATGCTCTGTCTCCCTTGTGTTCAAGGGCATACAACAAACTCAAGCCCCAAGTCACATTATGAGGGAGCTGCTTTGTGATAAAATCATCCAGTATACCAAACAGCCATTTCTTCTTTAAAAGCAACTTGGAGTGGCTAAGAAGCTCTTTAAATCTTGATTCAACCATCTGCCCATTGTAGAACAGTGAAAGTTATGGATTAAAAATAAACTGTCTGCGTCTACTGCTTGATAGTGGAATTTGAGCTGACCAGAACTAAAATGCAATTAGAATAAAATAAAGCCAACTATATGCTGGGCCTTTCCATTCAAACCTCATCGCCTGATTATATTTCCTCACATTAGAACCCAAAATATATTATAATATCGATATCTGTGATAACAAACATATCCTCCAATTGAGAACTTTTTTAAGAAGAAAAAACTATAAAATATTGTTTAGTTGAGGAGCTCACAGCCTTCTCTCGAGCACCACCTCCGAAGAAAGCAACAGATTCAGCATGTGTACGCAGTCTTTCATGCATGAACCTAATGGAAGCACCAAACAGATAAAGTTCAGAATGATTTCCCCAGACCAATTGCTAAACGCAATGATTGGAGCAACAGAAGCTAAAATGAACTAACCTAAAGGTTCCTTCAAGCTGTTGTTCTTGACTTGCCAAGTCACCAAAATCAGGAGTTACAGTTCTTAAAAATCCCAGACCAAGCAACATATAAGCATATAGTATAGCAACTCCCCTCTGACCTGTCAAAAGCTTCATTCTCCAAGTGAACCTCATGGAGAAAAGAAAATAAAAAAATATCTAAGTATCAAATACATTAAGTCAAGTACTACAAGATTGAACCCCAGGTAATAAAAAAAATTCCAACATTACAAGAATGAAGTACTCACCACAAAATATCTACAGATGGCTTTACCATCCCAGTGACCAGCCCTGATAAGTCTGTTGTTAATTTCTCCAAGTCATGAGTTATCCTCTGATCTGCATCAATATTTTTGTTTGCCATGTGGAAGACCTGCATAGATAGGCATTTAGCATTAATTTGGCACCCATTCCCCCTCATGGGGTTACAGAGCGGAACAAAAACAAAGAAGTTTTAGGTATTTGACAACTGTTGGAAACTTGGTTTGTATTACTATAACAAAAAAGGATTTACACCCCAAAACAAGTGTTCTAAGAAGAAAACACAGTCAAAATACAGCAATAATCCCTAATGATCAGCAACTAACCCAAGGAAAACTCATGTATATGCCTATCACAAAAACAAACACAATCAAAATATGATACTTGAATTGAAATTACCATGCATTACTAGACATAGTTTAAACATTCACATACAACCATGGACAGACGATGAATTTAGTGAATACATTTTCACTTACCTTGTAGAATGCATTGTTTTTCAAGTAATTCTTGAGTAAATGCTGTGTCAAACGAATCCTCCAGCCAAGAGCCAGCCTGGCTGTCAAGTGCCTGAAGAACAAGGCATATTTTCACCATTCATGATGTTAAGGTCAACAAAATCTTCTGTTTCTCTTTCTCTCTTTTGTTTTAATGCGTTCAACAGTTGAATCTTTTCATTATCAATAAATTACAGGAAAACAAATTTCCATGATAATTAGATTATTATCTTACATTATATTATGAAATCCAAACAGTAAACTTCTACTCAGAATTTTCACTAAAGTAAGTGCAGGACAGATATGATATAAGGTTTCAACCCAACCTAGTATGATATAGCATTATCAGTTCCTGGTATAAGATACAATCTATGCATATGGCAGGTTCAAACTGCAAAGTGTGCTTGTATTATAGAATGAAAATGTCTGACTCGTACATAGGGAATCAGTGTCATAAGCAAAATCAAAGAGGAAAGTGTTGAGAATCACTTCGACTCAAAGCTTAGTCACGTCAAAAAAGAGAAACTTAATTTGTGAAGTGAAAGTTCAGGAATAATTTTCTTATCGATCTTTATGAAAACTCTTTGGGCTAAACGTGTAGACAAAATACAGTATATGATATAACTTATGCTGGAACTTAACTTTCATAATCTCATGAACATGTGGTTTCTAACAGCCACCTAAGCAACTATTCGTGACCACTGCAGTGCACCAAGGGAGGTTAACCCACAAAACGTATTTATTAAATTGCATCCATACTGAAGAAAATGCATCACAAGCCATTAATTGGTGGGATGCAATTCAACACAAGATAGCAGCGTAAAGCAGCCTCTCAAGCTTTGAGTTACCAATAAAGTTGTAACGGATAACGTTGAGAAATGAAGACATTTAAACAGATAACCGATCAAGATACAAGAACACAAGGTACTTTAACAAGGATGCCAGGTCACCCATAAAAGAAATTCAGACCCAGCTGTGGAACCATGATTTTATTCTTTTACAATGAAAACATAATTGTACCAGTAACAATGGTCCTAGTGATTCAAAGGACAGTATGAAAACTACCAAATCTTGCCAAGAAAAATATAACCAAGCATGATTTGAGTTTGCAATTAAGCTTCTCTCCTATGGATGCTAAATTACCTTATAGAAGGTGCAATGAAGGAAGATGCACCGCTTTGGAGAATACTTATACCAATTAGCCGAATAAAGGAAGCCTTGTCCTGTTCCAGAACAAACTTCACAGTGGTACCTGAGAACATCATGCTCTTTACCAATATGCAGGTGGTCCCTCAGAACAATAAGAAGTCATATATGCAAACAGAAAATACCATTCAGTGATGCAATACGATCGGAGACCCATGTTCTTGATACGACAAGAAAAGCAACAGCAAGCAGTTGCGCTCCTTGTTTGTCAAATATAGTTGGTACCTGAACATAGAGAGTTCAAATAAGAAAGAAGAACTATAGATTATGCATTAACTCATATGCCTAAATAGAAGATCCTTTAAGAAGGGTGGTGGGCTAAAAGAAAGTGAAATGCACAAATGGCCTTTTTTTTTTCCCCGACACAAAGGACCACTTTGTAGAAACCATTTCATCATAGTAGGAACACAGACTGCAGATGCATCAGCAAACGAAAAGCTTAAGGGAAAATTTCTTGAGATATCTTATCATTGAAACATCCTCCAACTACTCTTCAACTAAGCTAAGATATATCAAGGTACGTCACAATACTTTGTTGTTAGCAGACCAGAGTTGATAGTTCAGTTTACATTGATTTTATGGGGATTTTAGTTAATCATGCAATATTTATAGAGTTGCCAGTACAGCATTGTACATGGACTATGACTTACTTTGTCTAAAGATGTTACTATCTTGCCTATTGGTGAGTGAGTTCTATGGGTTTAGCAGAGGACAAGAAGTCTTGAGTGAAAGCATATAACAAGAAATCAAATCCTTACTGAACAAGCAACAGAGAGCCACACAATGACTTCACATGATTGCAATGACTTCAGTTAAGTGATAATTGATTCGTAATTTACTTCAGCATTACTGCGCTTCATGTTTGGTTGTGTCACACAAACCATGTGACTTTAAGCTAATATTTTCATGAACAACCAATTCAACAATACTTTCCCCAGTATAACAGCCCAACTATGCTCTACTATCCAAAGAGTTCTTTTAAAAAAAGATGTTTTTAATTTTATTGAATAAATGAGTTAGTTTGGGGTATTAGTTGGGGAAGTTATAAGGTTCCATCAGCATTAATCTAGAAAAGGGAATAGCGAAATCATTTGTAAGCAAGCTTCGGACATAAAGGATTGAATTCCGTTCGTGTATGTAGTATCCTTCTTCTTCTACTTATGTGTCTATCTTCTCTATTATCTTTCCTATCTTCTATTCTCCTGTTCTAATTTCTCCTTCCCTATCCTTTTCATCTATCAGTGGTATCAAGCCCCGGTTCCTCAGACTGGTGGTACCTGGTAGGATGATTGTGGACATGAAGCAATTTATTAACCTAGCAATGAAATATGAAAGGGTGGGGGCCTTTTCCATGTAAGGTGCAAACCCTCATAAGGGAGAAACACCCAAGAGCGTGACAAAGTCTTTCAACCGCTGATAATTGATGGTGAATTCAAGAACAGTCGAAAACACATTCTTGAAGGCTGTCGCATGGGCAAACTACAGTTTGGTCTTCAAACAGTACATCTCAAGCATCCCAAGTTCTCCTGTCACATCTCCCTTCAGTTCTTCCCATCATGGCTTGGTATGAGGATTTAGAGCATTTCCAAGCACCAACTCCTCCAGGTTGTTGGGCCACGGTCACTGTCTCAGTTTTCTTCCTGCTGCCTGGTCTGTTTTATTGTTGTTGTCCGTGCTGGCCATCAGATTCTGAGAGTGGGTATTGATATGTACTAGTTATAGGGGTCATATACCATTGACATCCGTTTATAAAAAAAGTGTGAAGGCATTTGTGAGCAAGCTTTCGGTAATAGATTGAATTTTCTTCTAGTCATTGTCTCTTCTTCTACCTACCTATCTTCTCCATTCTCTCTCTATCTCTCTTTTTTTTTCCTTTTTTTCTTTTTTTTGCGTATACACCCGGTATCCTGAGCTAAGCCATCTTTCAGGCACAACAACGGAGTCAGACTAATCCGGATTGAGGCATGACAAGAACCATTAAGGTTAACACCGCTGGCCCCCAAGATGCTGCATAACCACGTCTCGAACTCGAGACCCGTGGTTACACTAGAATAGCCCTAGCCGGCTGATCTAATCATAGAGGTTTCTTTATTCTGTCTGATTCCTATTTTCCTATTCTATCTTCTTCTTCCCTATACTTTTCATGTGATCAGCTTCGAAACTCAGTAATTGTTGCACAAACTTGAATTAGCATACTCCAGTATCTAACTTCGTATGTAATGTTCAAAATCTCTAAATCACCCTTACCTTATGATATATTAAAGAAACACCAATCCAGTTACATTCCAACCATAATCAACCCATCCTAAGACTAGACATAGCCTACGTCAAATAAAGTTCTGAAACATCAGCAACCCCATAAAATAAAAAGCATCCACAATAAAACAATATGAGGGAAATTTTCTTTTTCTTTTCTCTTTTTACGTGGTGATATTACGAGGGAAATTTATATTATCCAACTTGAATGGCAGAAAATTTAACACCCAGTAAGGCCAAATCCGCAGAAAGTACCCACCAACACTTTGCACATTGCAGCTACTCTCAGCGGCAACACTCTTTTATTACCACGGAGTTGTGGTACTGCAGATGGTGCAATAGTATCATTTATGGACGGAGATGATGATATCACCTTTGTGATGTAAGACTGTTCCTTCGAATTCGCGAACACAAAATCCTAGACACAAGAAAAGTGAGGAGGGTATTCATCATTAAAAGGTGAACAAATGAACAATAAATGAATTATAAGAGAGAATATATGAAGATCCAAACCTTTTTATTCATGGCAAACGCTCGTTGAACAGCCTTTGCATCACTCTGCCGTTCTGTCTCCAACTCCTTCATTGTATCAATCTCCATTTCAGTAGAAGAGTCTTCCCTGGAGTTTAAACTAGTCTTGTAAACAATATCACACCCTAGAATAGATCACTGATAAGAATCAAAGTAAAATCCCAACCTTTTATAATGAACTGTCCAGCCTCCCTCACCATCTAAGGACAGAACAACATCATGGAATGCAACTAAAGCGGGACGATGCGATATCGTGATGCAAGATGTTCCCATGGCCCGTACTTTAGCACAAAATCGTTCTTCCATATCAGTTGTGACAGCACTAGTGCATTCATCAAGAATTGCAAACTTAGGCTTATGATAAAAAAGTCTAGCCATGCCCAGTCTTTGCTGCTCTCCCAAAGACAGTTCATCACCCCAGTTAACCTCCTTTTCAGGTGGATAACGGTCCAATAAATACTCAAGATCAACCTGGAATATAAGAACATGTGATTTCCATTAACAATTATATCAAGAAAATCAAAACATAAAACCCAAAATTTACCACAAATACGCATGATATAGAACGATATAGAGGATTAGATGGGAATGTTACATTTTTCAATAGCTCCACCATCCCACCATCTGTGAGAGGTTCAACCTCTTGATCTGCAGTGAGAGGATATATTAACTGGTCACGTAGTGTTCCAACAGCTGTGTATGGTCTTTGTGGCACATAGAAAATTTCCTTATTAAGATCAGAGCCAATGCCAGGTTTCACAATATGGCCAGATACCAATGGCCAGAGACCACCTAGAACCCGGAAAAGCGAGCTCTTTCCACTGCCATTTGGACCTTTGGGAAAACAATCATCAATACTATGTCAGAATAACCACGTCTATACATGTAAACTTCCAAAAACACAGGGGAAAAAAAAAAAAGCATGCATAAAATGTGTTCGTTTTGTTAAACAATGCAGATTCTTCTTACACCTGAAGATGCAAATAACAAAGATGCGTCAATTGATAGTGAAACTTTAACAATAAGACAAGCAGACAACAAAAATTTTATTTGTTTTTTTATTAGGGAGGGGGTGTTGAAGCAACACTGCTCAAAAACCAATAAAACAATTGAGAAACTTCTTAGGCTACCTGTAATCAAAAGATTAGATCCCGACTCAACCCTCAGAGTCAGATTATCCACCAAGACATTACCAGTTGGGGTCACGACCTGGATTTTTAGCACACCATCAATATTAAAATCATGACATAAAATATTGTTTCATTAATGATAAGTCAGCAGATTTTACTTGCCTTGACGCCAGAAAATTCAATGTAGTTAGCTTCACTAATGCAATTTCTACTTCCTACTCTTTGAAGTGAAGATTTCTCATTCACCAAACTTAGCTCGCTTGATATGGCCATTAGCTCATGAATGCGATCAGCGTAACCACTTAAAACACAAGGATGAATCAGCAAATGTAGACAGCTAAATGAACTTATGAAAAAGTCTTATAACAAGCATACATAAATCCAAGAAAACCCTCTGATATTAACTTCTATTACGCCAGAAATGAAAGATTAAATATACCTGAGACGATTAAGACGCCTTGCACTGATAGAAAGTGTTCCCAGGGACTGAAATAATGAAATGATGACACTAGTATGATATCTAAGATTGCTTAACATCTCTGCACGCCCTAAAGTTGAACTGTCAGGCCTTAGATGACCAGAGAAGAAAGGCTCAATGATCAGAATAACAGCAACAGTAGCACCAAGGTACTTTAATAAGAAGTCCTGAATCATGCCAAACCACCAATGGTCATGGAGCACAGTGTTCAAGTGCCTAACTAAGCTCCTAAACTTCTGCTGAATATGAGCTTCTTCTCTCCTCTCACCACCATAAAATGCTATACTTTCAGAATTAGTCCTTAATCGTGCATGAAGCTGTCGATACTCTCCTTCCAATTGTTGCTCTCTGGACATAAGCTTCCCAAAAGAAGGAGAGAAGTTTCTGATTGTGGCCCCAGCACCAAGTACATAGGCCTGAAAAAATTGACAACAATAAACATCAATTCTTAACATTGCCAAAAAAAAAAAATATCTTTCAGATTCCAGCCACCAGCAACAACGTAGACTACATTACAGTAGCTAGCAAAGAGAATTCCATGTAGTAGTACGGTTCAATTACAAAGTTACCAATATCCAGAAGACATATTTTGGGCTTGCATATGAACACAGCCGCCAAGTGTATAACAGTCCATCAGTTACGGCTATCAGATCATCCTGTACAATTTCACTCAACTCAGAACAGAACTTTGGCACATCACTAGCAATCCTTTGCTCCGGATTAATTATCCGGCCGTCAACATGTGACATTTTGTAATACACCATGTTCTGAAAGTAAAATAGTTGATGAAAAGAAAGTCATTAGGAAAAGCAAAGTTGCACATGATGCAATTATCAGGAAACTTCATAATTAGCCATGACAACCAAAAATAACTATTGGCCAGCTATTCAAAAAAGGAAATCAGTTAAAAAAGCAGTGTCAATTGTCAAGAATGCCTGGAATGTTCCTCAAGGCATGAGCCCAAGATCCCAAAGCCAATGCCAGAAAGGAACCAACCAGACCATCAGATCCCTTTTAACATTTTTTCAATTACTTCATAGTCATCTATGCAGCAGGTAGGATTTTTGACATCTACATCCCATTCCTTAAATAAACACAAGTCAATGGATCGATCTAATGCTAAAATCATTAGGAAAATTCAAACACTATTACAAAGCAAACTTACAAAGATTGCTGAGAGTGAGAAGAAAATACTTTGCGTATATACAGGAAAAAACAATTAAAACACGAGAAAGGCGACAGACTTCACTTAGCAAGGACTAATGACAACTAAATACAGACGCTTCATACGAGAATGTGTATATAAACAAGAAGTTCAAAACTAATGATCTAAAATACATACTAATTTTCACGTGCAATTTAAAAATGTCTACCTCAAAATAGTGAGAATGGATAAGCTTTGTCAAAATTTTTCTAAAGCGCAGACTCAGGGTTCCTGTTATGTACTTTGATGTGGAATGCATGGTTGATAGAAGGAAACACAAAAGAATATTTTCCGAAATTAACCGGAAAAATGATGGTACACGTCGAAGAAAAGCAGCACGAAATAGAAAGCCTTGCACTTTTGCTAGCCTGTTGCTCAAAGCAGTTCGAAGCACCTGCAAACAAGTATAAAAGACACACATCTTACATCTACTGAAACCATTTGCCACCTGTCAGATCATTGATTTAACAATTATCCTCTTTATCATTAGGGAGTCAACTAAAACATTAACGTGTCTATTCAATTTCATCATTTTCAAATAAATCTCATCAGCACAATGTGGTTCTGGTTCTAACAATCAAATAAACACTATCCATTTTGTTTTTCAACTTCAATCCCCATGCATTATTATTAAAATAATAATCTCTGTCAAACATAAAAAAACTACACTTATTCAGTTATATAATGGCAAAAAGTACGTAGTCCATCAACTGCAATCATATCTGCGTACCCAAGACAAGCATAATAAGAATAAGCAAAAATCATATTTGTCCCAAACAAGCCATGGCAGCGCTGACTTTCACCAAAGACATTGGCAGCGTCAAATATCATCATGAATAAATGCAAATTTATTATGAGCCACTCTGTTCCACATTATTGAAATGAAGAACAAAGCATCACCACCCATGACAAAATAGGCTTACCACAATGCCAACTAAAGCTAAAAGGTCCCTTGCACCTAGTTGGCCCATCTCTGATAAGAGGATTGCAGCAAGGACTTGAAGGGACTTCAATCCCCCTTTCTTTTGTTTACTTTTCGGTTCAGTAGTGCCCTTCACAATCTCCTCCTTGGTAATTTCTTTATCGTTATTCTGCCCATTGCAACGGTCAAGAAAATTGTGTTTATTAAATCTACACCTTGATTGTACATACACGGCCGTTCCACCAGCAACTAAAATACCAGTTGCAAGCAATAAAGTTTTTCTGCATTACCAACACAAAGAAAATGAATGAAATAAGTTACAATAGACATGCAAAATTAGTTCCACTTTGATGATATAATTAATTCCATTGATCAGCAAAGCAGTAAAAATATATAATGAGGGAAAGATACCATTATGTGTAAACCGACCACAATCAAAGTGGATATAAATATTTCAGGTATAAGTATAATAGCAATGCCAAGCTCAGGAAACACATTTTGATGTCTCAAGCAACAGCAATCCACAGAATGCATGCTTTAGGAAGAAGCAGCATCTTTAATTTTCTTTTAAATGCGTTCCTAGACAATTGCTAATTCCTAAAGAATCTAAATCGCATAGAATGAACAACTTTGACATTGTTGCATAGGAGTATCGCATATAACAAACTTTTTCACACCCCTCACATTTCATATCAATACTGTTTTGATTTTTTTATGCTCTAGGAACCCTGCTTTGAGCATATTGCACCCTATTTCTGATTAAAGAATGTGGTCAAATGTTAACCCAGGCATATAACAAAGATTATTCTTGTGAAATCATAAATAAAATGACTAAAAGCATCATAAACATGATACATTAAGTTAACAAGCAAGTGAATTAAGATAATGGCAATTCAAAGTCAAAGTCAGATATCATAATCTGTTATAAGTTGTCACCAGAAACAAATAGAAAATTCAATACCTCCTTGAAGCCAGGAAACCACGGCCATGCTCAGTTAGTTGCAACAGTTGAAGGGAAGGCATGGTTGAAGATCAACCTCTTCTTAATTCTCACAAAGATACATAAGTGTTGTGATTGTACAGCTTACTTTGAGGGGCAAGAAATTCTAGCAAACTTTGACACAAAAACAATAGATAAGCATCTTGCAGGAATTGTAAAAATTCAAGGGAAAGTAGAAAAAGCACCTACATGCAGATCAAATAGACATGCACTCTATCTCTATGATGCTTTAAGAGCACCATGCTCCTTACTTCCACTGACAAGGCCCCACACACAAGCTAAATTAATGTTTGGTTGTGAACTCTGGGAAATTCAACGCTCTAGGGGTGCCCTCATTTGTTTTTTTTTTTTTCCCCCTTGGGTGGCCCCCAAGGGGGGGGGTTTCAATTGATCGAATTCTCACTTGACAGCCAGGAAGAAGAAAACGCAAATGACAAAAGAGCTAATTCTTCACCCCATCTTTCTTGGAGGAAATCACTTAGTTTAATTGTCAATGAACTTACCATTTTTTATGAAGTTCCTGCTATCATATGTATTTCAGCATACACTACAAAGCCATACAACTTGTCAATGGCATCAACCACCAACCAAGTTTTCATGAGGGAAAATCCCTTCCTTTTATCTTTTCGTTGACCGTTTGTATTTTAAATAGCGTGATGATGCTGTAAGTTCAGCACATTGTCTTAAATTGCCGATAATATTCCTAGTAGGTGCCTATTTGCCAGGAGTCAAAACTCAACTAAAGATTGAATAAGCAACTGATGAAAATAGACAATTTGTCCATTAAGCTCATGCAAAACTTCGTTGGTTAACATTTATGCAGCAACATGAAAATAAAAGTAGAAATTATTGCACCAAATAATCTACAATGTTAAGATCCATTGTATGTCTCTGTGTACAGCATGTAGGGACAGAAGATGTTAAACCACAACATTATCTATGTGTGAACACAAGAGACATGGCTAACCTTTCATGTCTGACAATGTTAACCATGCTCCATCATTTCTAAAGCTTGGCAAGAAAGCATATTCCTATAAAATAATATAGTGTATTCTAACTCAGTACCAGCAAACATTTGTCGAAATAGTTGGTTTTTTTTAAGTTAAGCCCGTGGCAACGATCCGAAGAATGAGTCTGCAATAATACCGTCTGACTCAGTACATATCGGAGATGATAACACGAAGATATAAGAGCACATAACAGAAGTAAGTAGGGCATGCCTGGTATGATATGATATGATTCTAAGCCACCGAAGCTATGACCACCGAGCACAATTGTCACTTGACAAATTGACCGTGCGCAACACTGAATATTATGTGTTCCTGGCATAACCAAAGAAGTGAAAAAGCCATGGGCGGAATATAAACAATTAAAAACACTACCATTGGCGAGGAGCTGAAGAAGCAAACGTCACAGCTAAGTAGCGAATATTTAGGATCGAACAAGTTGAAAAGAATACCTACTAATGTCTCTGAGAAATGGATTGTGATGAGAGATTTGTCGATTCTGGAGGCGAGTTAGAGAGAGAAGGCGGTGATGAGTGAGAGAGAGGCACGGGTATGGGTGAGATACTGAGATAATTCTCAGACGAGTTCGGCAGTGATCGGGTCGGGTCAAGCAGTGATGGGATTTCGTATGGGGAACCTATTGGAAACGAGAAGCGCAGCATGCGAACGGTCAACCCGCTTCAAGGATTTTGGGCATTGAAGGATGTTGGTGCACGTAATAATGAATCCGAAAAAATTCTGAACTACCCGGATGCAGATTTGGGGTGTCGCTAAATTATTTTACCAACGGGGCAACCGTCCGTGTGAATTCTGGAGATAATGAAACACGCAACCCGTTGCACCTACTTTCCGGGTAAAGAGTAATCACTTTTCAGAGCTGCAATAAAACCAGGCCAGGCTCTTTGGCAGCGATATTTACCCAAGAAAACTCATCTTTGGAAGTACTAAAAAGTAGATTAGGAGCCTTCTGAACAAATTAACCCCAGCTCACATTTTATTACTACCTCCAATACTTAATATAAAAACTAATTTAATATTTAATTTGGTCCTAAATATAAGATCTCAATTCTCTTTATCTTTCATATTTATCTATTTTTTCTAAAATGATTATTGTAGTATTAAATGTTTATCAAATCATAATTTTAACTAATATACATGATTAGTAATGGTATTCTATGAAAAAAATAACATTCTATTTATTACAAATAATTAACTTAACAAATTTTTTTACTTTATCTAAATTGGTTAATTGCTTTTATACATAATATTACTCTTTCTTTTTTTTTCTTGTTGAGGGAAAATTACTCTTCAAAAGAGCTGGTAATACGGATAGGCTCACTGTCAATAGCATTTTGCCACCCTGTCAAGGTGACTACTTCAACTCCGCACAGTGAGGTTAACCCGTATATATACTGTCAACCTACTTTGCTATCCCTACTCTTCAACGCGCATAACAAGATAGTATCTAGTCATACTCTAGGCCTTGCTTCTGGCTGGTATTGGCGTGTATATTAAAGGAATTTATAAGTTAAAGAAAATTTAAATTTTATGTATTAAACTACATGCAACATATAAAAACACCTGACTAAATATGATTCTTAAATAATTTCCCTCAATTAAAATTATCCTAAATTTTAAAACCCGTGCATGCACATGATGAAAACTTATTGCTTGAAAAATTTATCTTTGCACAAAAGGAGACATAAAATTTTTATTTGGATGTTTGGATTAGCTTTTTAACAGTAATTTTATGAAGTTCAAGATGAGTATATGAAGAATTTTATCTTGATTTGCGTAAAAATATTTTTTTAATGCTTTTACTTTGTATGAAACACTCCCTTAGATAAATCAGTGGCAGAAGGAAGGGAGACTGGCAGAAGGAGTGGCCCTTAAATTTTAATTTTTCCCGAAAAATTTATATTGCATGTGCCTTTCAATATCAACCCTTTCGTGGTTAAATTCAGCCACGTCACTGGGAGCGGGGACCAATAATGTAATTATAGTTCTATGAAGTCATGTTGGCAGGGTAAAAAAAAGGCACAAGTAACCAAAGTCCAAAAATAAACAAAATAAGAGTGACATGTAGACGTGAAAATTTAACGAAGTAACGCAGGAATAGCTGTTGTTGTAAAAGTATGGACAATTCAAAAGAGGATAAATTTAGCTAAAGCCCGCAGCTAAGAAGTCGTGATTAGATAAGATAAATTTTGAGGGGAAAAAAAGAAGAATTGCAATAATCTCCTAAATAAAGACAGAATTATTTCTTCGATGTCATTTATAAGTCAAATTTTAATTTACATATCAAGCCTAAATATTTGTAGGTAGTAAGGACTAATGGACTATATTGGTCAATTACTATTAATTAATTTTCTTAAGTGGGACCAATATGTAATTCTGCTTTTCAACATGACAAGAAACTGATTGGAACAGAGTTTTTTGTGCAGCCGGACGCATGACGAAACCAGTGATAGGAATCATATCGTCAAAGGGAAGGGATCTCAAAACCATCTAGTGTCTCTCGCTCAAGTGCAAAGAACTTCGCTCCATAAATCAACAGATTTCAAACGTAAGATGCCATCACTCGTTTTGTTGCAACGATAGCTATTCATTTACATCCTATGACCAAAAAAAAAAAAAAGATACGGCATGCCGAATCAATCGGAAACTAAACGAATATGGGATTTAACAAGGCTCTAAAATTTGGGGGGTCGATGTTGAACTTGACCAAAAGTGAAAAAATTGTGGGTATCAGTTTGTGCACCTTGCGAGGAAGAATTGTCCATTGAATAAATTGTTTGGGGCAGTAGGAAGAATCAATCTATGGAAAGAGCGGACTTGGTTTGCAATTTGTTTGTTCGCCCAGTAAGACCCGCTCTCCCCTGACCTTGCAATTTGTTTGGAGTAATGATCATGTAACCTCTGGCTTTTCTTGGTTCTTCTTTTGTAATTTTCTGACCTTAATGACATCTCTTTCCACTCAAAAAAGACAATGATCATGTAACATCCGCGAAATGGCACGGTTATTTGCAGATGCAAGAGAATTTTGCCTGCAGAATGATGAGAAGATGATAAAGCTCATCTCACCGCTGATCATCAGAACTGCCTTAAGAATATGGGCGTAAAAATATCACTCGGCAAAAAATTAATCACTAAAGCTTTATATATACAAATCCCTCAATAAACTAAACGCTTCATGCCACCGGGAATAGTATGCAGTTCTCCAAACTTGAGAGTTGAGATTTTCAATTTTTACACTTGAATCAACGGGAAAAAATGGGGAGAAGAAATATAGAAAAGGCCAAAAACTCTTTCGCGCTTCCAACCCGCGTTACTTGGGAGAATGGGCAAACATACAATTGCGCTTTAAAGCCCTCAAAGCAAGCGGAGTTAAAAGAAATCACAAGAACCAACTCTGCTTCATCCATTCTAGCGAAATATCACATTGGGTGCCCCAACCAAAAACAAAAAAAAAAGGAAAAAAAAAACTAGAAGAAGTTATGGCATAGTTTCTCTTCTTCAAGTTGCACATGCATCCATGCTTCGTATCTGGAGCAAACAAAATTTCAAACAAATGGCATTACAACTTAACAGACGAAGCAAATGTTTAAAACAAAGGACAGAAGCCTTCATGAAAATATAGAACCAAACATGAAAGAGAAGAGGCCCTTGCACAATAAAATGCATCATATATCTACTGCAGATTAGACTTGCACTTTCAGACAACAATGACTAACCTGTTATTGTTTTATTTCACTTTCAGACAACAATGACTAACCTGTTATTGTTTTATTAGCAATTAATAATTTCCATCAAATACCGTTTCGTCGCCAGATTAAGAACGAATCTTTTCTTTCTTTCTTTTTTTTTTTTTTTTTTGGGGGGGGGGGGATCATGAGCTGATCAAAGTTTCTATTAAACCAGCAACAAAAGTGCAAGAATAATAAGGAACAAGGTGGCCAGACGAAGCCATTGTAATCTACATTGGCCTAACATAAATAGTCCCTGGTTTATATTCCTCAACAACCTCAAAGGACAAGAACTGTTCAATGTTGCTGTCTATACTAATAGAGTTGATGCTACTTAAAGTGGGGATGACTAATGCATAGAATTTAAAGAATTCTTTTTCATAAGTTGAAGTAAAAAATTCCATCCCAAATTTCCCATACTGCACAAGAAAACTCATTAGAGAAAGATACATGTTGGCTTATTACAAGAAATCAGTTTGAATCATGTTGACCAACAATTTCCCAGGTGAAACTAATATGGCGACATTTTACATGGTAACTCTTCAAACTATCTCAAGTTTTCCTTGCTTTCTGTTTTAGATATCCGTAATTTTTTTGTATGCTAAATAATAGCTTAGTGGATGTACCTCATACTGAAGGTTTATCATATTTATCCTTCCTTTCATCACCATCATCGTCCTCATCAATATCATCATCCCTTCTATCATTTTCCACATCACTTTCACTTGCTGTCTCCCATTCAGAATCATCAGTCTCTGGGCCATAGAGGTCACCACGATTACCCTGACTATGAACACCTCCATGTTTGATAGCTGCCTCTCTAAATAACCAAGCAGCACGCATCTGCTTCTTAACCAAGCGTTCAGCATAATCAGGAACTTTATTTTGCCTCAGTGAGAGATCAGGATCATTTGACTGTGAGCATTCATTTATGAATAGAATGGCATCTAATAAACTCTCTTTCGATAACCCAAGCATGTCATAAGCCTGTGCTCGTCTCCATAGGCTTTTGGCATGACGATTGACAGGATTATGGAGACAGAGTGCACGAGTAGCATCACTTATGGCAGCCAAGGGTTGCTGAAGCAAAAGATGACACTGAGCTCGATTACTATATAGAACAACCCTCTCCTTTTTGGATCTCATTGGACACAATGACAATGCTTCTGAGTACTTCGATGCAGCTCCAGATATATTTCCTGACGAGAAAAAAGAATTCCCTTCTAGCTTGACCACTAGTGCTGCGGCCTGCTTAATATGTAGATCTTCCTTGGGCATATTTTTTTCCCATTTTAATCTCTGTTTTGAATTTAGTAGCTCCTCAATTTGTTCTTTAGTGCGGCTACTAACTGAGCCTCTTCCTGATCCTTGTGATTCCAAGCAATCCTGAAGAACATTAACAATGGAATCACCAAGCTTCTTGTGATCACCCAGAGTTGTAATTTCTGCAAGGTCTACCAATGCTGGCACGACTTTATCAATCACCTGCATATGATACATATCAAAGCCTTAAGCGCTTCAGCCTGGTGCAATAGCAATAGCCAAATAATATAAACTTAGGTCCTCTGGAGTGGTGGTCATATAATGAAGAATACAAAAAACAAGACAATTGAAGATAAATTATAGAATCGAATGACCCATTGAAGACAAAGTAATTTATTATCATTTTACTTCTGGTTTAGAAAATTCATTGGTGGCATAAAATAGACCATGAACCTTCCTATTAAGTGACAATCAACCTTAAGCTTGACAGACTGATGCCTTAAATGAAGATGATTCCCGTGCATAAGAGTCAGAATTGATTCCATCAGTTAGTCAAGCATTCTTTTCAAAACAATCAGTATTTTGTGTTTTAACATCATACAAAAGAACCTGAACAAATATGTAATTCACGCGTCACAATAAGAACCAAATAGCCATGCAAAACTGTTAAAGCTTTTACCTTGTGGCATGTATTGGGATCTTGAAGCAGCCATAGAAGACAATCAATAGCCATATACTGCCAATCATCTGATGAGCAAGCAATATTACACAATGCTTCAATGATACCTGGGCAGTTGGCAACAGGTCCCCTACCAAGCTTGTGATGACAAATTGTTCTTAATAAACCAATACCAGCTGGTGAATTTTCATTAACAAGTCCGCCCCACATGCCAGGTAGTTTTATGAGAAATTCCGGTTTGCATATGGTGGGAAGAAATTCAGGTTTAAAAGCAAAGCAATTAATGAGCTGAAGAGACCAACATTGCAACTGACTTGCCCATTCCTCAGCCTTCCTGGATTCCATTTCAACTCCGCCCATGCCACGGGTGAGCAGATCACAGTGGTAACTCAGCCTTCTATCAACAAATTGATAGAAATGCGAATACACTATTTCAAGAGAACTCATTGCTAATTGGATGGAGAGCTCAAGAATTTCACCATGACTTGATACAGCAGGAAAAGTCGTAGCATATGTAGCCAAGTGCCCCAAAGCTCGAACAGCTACCCTCTGCTCAACCCAAGTTAACCTACCACTCAAAAGTTCGACTAATGGGGCAATCACCCCAGCATGTACAGCACTTTCTGCAAATTCTTCCATATTCATCGTGTAGGAACCAATAATGTGAGCAGCATAATACGGAATGTATATATTCTGGTCATAAGACAGCCAGCGCCGATTCTTCAGTCCTTTCCATATCAAAGTTGCCATGCATTCAAATATTCCCAACTCTATGAATTCAGGGTCATTTGGATGTGCCATTGCTGTGTTCCAAAGACCACTGATGGGAAGAACCTGACCATCGTCATCTTGTGATGGAAGTTCTCTAAAGAATTTTAGTATGCTTGCCCTCCGCTTGCTGGGATTCCCTTCCTTCATGACACAAAAAAAGCATCCTGGGTACGGACAGTCAGATGATATCTTCTCCATGTTCAGTGAATTATAGCAATAACCTTATGAATCAAGAAGTCAATTCTTCATCAGGTGGCTAAAGCAAAGAGACTATTTCAGAACTGCAAACAAGTTACATGTATGATCAGTATTCCCCAGTATATCAGAAATGTTGAAGACACGAAATAGATGCAAAATCTGCACCCCACTGCGCTCCATCATACACGTCATAAAATACTCAAGAACAAGATTTGCCGACGACTTGTATGTAATTCCCTAAATATCAGGAAGTAAATACAAGATATTCAGTTTGCAAGCCTTTCTACAGAATTCAGTTCACGAGAAATTTCGGTTGACCGGACAACTTCAAAACCAGTCCAAAATTTTGGAAATCGTGGGCAGAAAGAGGACCGTGTCCCAGTCAACATAATAACTTCATTTGAACCAGATAATTGACACAGTGCATGATAAGACGTTATATGGTTATAAAGTCAAAATCTTGACCGAACAGATTAAAAAAAAAAAACCGTCTAATTTTAAATTTTTAATTATAACGAGACGAAAACTCACATCAACAATATGTAGCGACAGTAACATCATCTTCCCACATTCCTCTTTTGCACGAGGCTTATTTTCAGTTCAAAGGAGTATAGGTTAAGAAATAGGAGTTGTTGAAACAAAATGCATAAATTCTTGTCAGCTGTCTCAGTCTACATCAAAAATGACTGCAGACAGCACATTTCAATTTTCGTTCAGTTGAGCTCTGTAATATATGGGATCACGGACGTGGACACTTTTAAGGAAACGTCCATCATATAAATTTATACCCAAGAGAGAGGCGCAGGAAACAGAGGACTAGTCATCAAGCTAGTAAATCAACCAGCAGGAACAATGCACGCACAACAATGTCTCCTAACATCAATCAATCCGAAGTAATCAGCTACAAATAAGTACGGGGAACACTTCCGAATCTGAACCACTGGATGAAAATTTGACTCGCGGGCACGGAAGGGTAGGGGGGAAAAAAGAGGGACCAAAACCAAAGAAAAAGGTGAGGAAAGATTTAAGGCACCCAGTTGTAAATTAACTCGATATCGAAGAATCCTGCAAGAGAAAGCAAAACCAACAAGGAGAAGGTACAGTTGCAAAAACAGATGGAATGAAAAGCCCGTACCTCGAATACACCCGTTAGGTGGCACAGAGGGAAGACACGGAGCAGCAAATAATCCTTGAGCAAAAGGAAAAAGAAACCCCTTTTCTTGTTTGTTTGAATCTTCATCTCGACTGGGCCCAGAAGGGCGGTGCTGCTTTTCCCGATTTCTGTATTTACGCAGGTCCTGCTAGTGAAGAGACACAACCGAAACGGCGCCTAACGGAGAGGAGAGAGGAGTTGGAGGACGAACTGGTCATCCTTCCCTCCTCTTTCTTTTCTAAAATACCATGGGCCCGCTTGGATTTGATTTTTATTATAAAATTATTATTATATGAAACTATAAAAATGATAATGATAATCAAATTTAAGCTACTAAAATTTAATTTGAACCATTAAAAACGCAGTGTAAACTTCAAAAAAAAAATTGTAGAAATCAAATCTCAGCTATTCAATTGTTGATTTAACGTGCTGGAAAAAAATTATTAGTCTAATTAGTGAAAAATAAATATTAAGCAAAAAGGATGAAAAGGGAAATAAGAGAGTTCTCTCCGGTCAAACTTTTCGACTATGAGGTGTTTGGATTCCAACCCAAACCATGGTTTGGGGACCCAAACCATGGTTTGGGGACCCAAACCATGGTTTGGGAAAAAATCACCTAAACACCCTAAGGGTATGTTTGGATGAAACCAAACCGTGGTTTGGAAAAGTGATTCTGGATAATAGATTCTGGAAAGAATAGATTTTATGAAAAAGTGATTTTGAGAAATGAGAGTGTTTGGATAGTTGTTATCAGAAGCACTTTTTATATATACAAATTACTAAAAAAAAAGACATAAGTTAATATGATAATTACAAAAAAGATAGATTTTATGATATATTTTAATTTGAAGGAATAAAATTGTTAATAATATATTTTTTATTAACATAATTAATAATACATAAGATAATATAATTAATAATTAATTAATATGTATATATATTTATAAAATATAAGATTAAATATGTTTATAAAAAAAATAACAATATACATATCCTATAGGCTCTCACACTCTCCCTTTTTTTCCCAAAAGCAAAAAAATTTTGCTTTTTCCAAAACCATGGTTTTGGTTTTTGGGTGGGTGTTTGGGTGATTTATTCCCCAAACCATAGTTTGGGGTGTCACCCAAACACAGCCTTAGTAATTTGTACATGTAAAAAATGCTTCCGGTAACAACTATCCAAACACTCTAACTTCTCAGAATCACTTTTTCACAAAATCTATTCTTCAAAAATTCTATTCTCCCCATAAACTATCCTCCAGAAGCTATTCTCTAAACCATGGTTTGGTTATATCCAAACACCCCATATGTGACTGAGCTTTAGAGGCGTTTGATTCTGATAGCCGATAAGATATCCAATAGAAACTCAGGCCGAGGCTCACAACACCGCCGAGCTTCAGTGGCAAATATTGCTGCCTAGAGATCGCGGAGTCTTGTTGCAATGTCAAGGGCAGGCAAATCATGGACATAACTAATCTTTAAATATAAGCATTTATCTTGCAAGCGATTATGGTTCAAATTATTGCGTCTGATAGGTTAGTTTTCCCCCAACAAATAATTACGCCATCCTTGCCAAAAAAAAAAACTTCATGTAACAAAAAAAAACAGGTTTCATTCCTTAGCCTAAAAAATGTGGCCATGATAGGAATTAAATGAAATAGAATTAACTGGGCGTAGAGCTGGGAAAACACCTGTTTCTTAATATTAATATTTGATCACCCGTTATGAAGACTGCCTTGTTTTTATGAGGAGGGAAGGAAATAAAAACCAGGCGGGGGTCCAACCACGAGAGGTTCAGCTCAGACTCATCCCCTCAAACGCAGCATGGTTTAGAGCTAACAAGTTTCATTCAACCCAGTCGACCCAGCGAGCAGAGGAGGAGGACGAAGAAAAGACAAAGGTCTGGGGCAATTTTATCCTCTAAGTATTTGCACCAAGAGCAATTTATGTTAGAAAACGCCATTTGATGCATCGTCGATCCAAAAGTGTCAAAAACGGTCCAATGTCATCCTACTGACACTTTCGAATACCAGTTACTTTTCCTGTTTTCCATGAATATATCTCGACAAAACTAATGTTTAATTCAAAAACTTATTATTGCACTGTTATTGTGAAATTTTCTGACGATAATATTCTTGAAGACCCCACAGTGGTTTTCCAGAAGCAAAATCAGAATGGAGGTAATAATTGAATCGATCAAACGATGCTCCTACTTTGTCCATATATTGATGCCATTTAGCAAATTCTCACTTTGAGCTTCACTCTTACCATCAAATCAAAATTTAAAAATATCCGATATTTTGATGCCCTTCAGCACAGACATATTATTGAAGACGTAGTACGATTGCAGAGAAACTGACAGACATGCACGGGCTAAAGCACGTCTACTCACCATGCACCTTCCGATAATCGAAATGCGCGTCCGATAGTGATTTTCAATGTTTTTCATAAAAAAGAATATTACAACAGCCTTACATGCAACAAGGTTGGAATTTAAATATATTATTTAATTTATACAGGTTAATTATTTGTAGGGTGAAAATCACTATTTAATCTCAAAGAAGAAACCTAATTACAAAAAATTTCATGTTCGGCTTCTTAGATAAAAGCTTCATGACCATACAAGGCCACAGAGTCGAAATTTGCAGCAAAATAAAGGAAAAACCATATCTATGTTTTCTTCGAAAATACTCATCCGGTCTTAAATAGAAAATCTATTTTATAATACAAATTATACTATAAAATAAGTTCTATATGAAGTATCACGACATGTCGCTGAACAAATGAACGAATAACAGAGTTTAACTGCGAGTTGCAAGTAGATTATTAGGATGGAGTTTTATTATCTCTCACTAAATTTAAATCCGAGCATGAGCGACGTGAAATTATTTGGATTTTAGACTTTTTGCTGGCAGAATATTTTAATGAAATTTACATGTCTATTCAAATTATTTCTTCGGCCACACGCTTCGGATTCAAATGGGCTCTTCTCATGTTGGCCCAAAAATACATGGGCTCTTACTGAAGACTGCGAAACAAATGACATGGCTCCCTGGTGCCATGTGAGCACTTTTTAACTCTCGTCTTCAATTAGTATAGAATGATGTTGACGCAATTGATTACAAAAATTAAACAAAAACGACAACCTATTTAAGAACATGATTGAATAAAGCTTGTCAAGGAATGCTATTTGGAATCGATTGCCCGTGAATCAAAAAATGGTCGGTGCTTAACAAGGATTCCCAGGTGATTTGGAATTATTGAGAAAATAGAGATAACGCGTGAGGATTTTGATAATTAGGGGGAACCATAACTTGGAGATTAGACAATGACAACGAACCTGATCAACACTCACTTGCATAGAAAGCGACTGCAATCTGATCAGATGGCGACCCCAGCATCAGTGTGAGAGGGACACATGGTTATGGCCACAGGCTTTGTTTGATTCTGCAGAGAAGGATCGATGTCGTATGATTGGGGTAAACTTTAATTATCAGTTCCTCCATATTAGTGATTGGTTATTATTATTATTAGCCCCCTCAGTTAGTTGAAATGGACTTTAATCCGCCCTAAGTAATGTGTGACAGGGTCAGATCTTCTGAACTTCCACTACTTCTGCATAGAACTGTATGTGCAATTACTTGGCGCTCCAGTTATTCGCATGGCGTACATTGTCTTTTTCACCACCATCATTTTGTGTTCATAAATTATGTCTCCATAAGCTTAAAAAGGCAACGTCAATAATGATATTCATTATTATAACGTTTTATTCGACAACGTTCCTTTAGTAAAACTACTTCACTTGATTGACGCGCAGTGGCATTTTGTGTTTAGAAATGGATTAAAAAAATATCGTGTACGTTGCTTTCACAGCATTATTTTTTCCGTCAAAAATCACGAGCTCTTATTGTAGAAAGACGAGCAGCCGGGCGGACAAATTCTTAAAGCGATGGAAAAATGATTGCTGGGTAAACATCTTTGGGACATATTGCGAGCAACAGAAATTTTTCGGAGAGTTATGTTGGCAAGCATAACAAGAGACGTTCAGCGAGAGTGCGCCAGGGCGGAAAAGGACGCCGCGTCTTCAGAGTCAGATCACCAAAAATGATTCAGAAAAAGGAGGTTGAAATTTGAAAAGGTAAAGCGGGGGCAGCTGCAAATACATAGCCCCGAGCCGACTTGCTTAATGAATAGTCCTCAAATAATAATATAGATTATGGAACCCACATGGATAAAGACGTAAAGCAGTAATAATAATAAGACACCGTCGGTGGAGCATTCAGATTACTATAATACCCTCAACATCTGCGCCTGCTCCCATACATCTTGCTCATGACGCGCCTAAAGTCACAATAAAATGCTCGAGGGATTTATTATTTTTTTGAATGCAAGAATAAGGAAAGACGAACGTTTTATTTTGTGCTAGCCTAGTTGCAGAGCCAAATAAATTCTTAGTACTTCCAATTCCACTCTTTCCAAGAAAGAAGAATTGGACCGTTTTATTACAATCTCAGACTAGTTGAAAATAGAGGGGGAGAATCTGGAGCCCGCTTGATAAAAAAAAATGCATGCCCATATCTACAATATATTACTAGAAAATTAGCTTCCCTGCCTGGTTTGTCGCGCCATAACTGTCTGACTTGAGGGGGGAAAATAATCTAAAACAAAGACAGCAGAAGCGGAGAGAAAATTGTTGATGGGGGGAGGAGCTGGGGTCATGTGAAGCATACAGCCAAATATAGTTATATAGGGCTGATTGATTATTGCCACCAGCTCTCCTCCCATTTATAATAGAACGAATCTGAATAAAGCAGACTGGAGTTAAGCCAAGCCTTAGGCACAGTATTACATGAACAGTCTTAAAAATAGTGACATACTAGTAACTTTGGAGATAATTTAATGAATGCAATTGAATTAACTCTTCTTGCCTTCTTCTCCGCCATCTTCCAAGTAAGCCTTCTTCCTTCTGTCGGCACCGGCAAACACGCAGATCAGGAGGAAACATGCAGCGTAAATCCCGTGAATCTTCCAATTGGTCTTGGGCGGTTGCCGCAGCACCACCCTGTGAAACACCGTGACGTAGTAGTGCAGCCCGATGGCGAAGCCCAAAAAGGTCTGGGCCAGGCCCAGAAACTTTGAGCCGACCCCACTTTCGGCGGAGAACACCAGGACGAGATGCATCAGGAGGAGCAGCAGGTAAAACAAGTAACCCAGAGTCTGAAGCACCTGCAGACACACGTACGTGGATTGCGAAGTGGAGTAGAAGAACTTGAGAGGCTCGAGCCCAGTGATCAGAGCAGACAGGCAGAGAATGGAGAAATAGATTGACAGATAAATCTGGACGAAAATTAAGACCTTCTGGATCGAGAAATAAGCTTTGATTTTATTGAAGATGAGCGACACTAAAAGCAGAGGGATCAACGCGAAAGCACACGAAAGTACGGTGGCAACGGTGGATGCGTATTTGTTGCCGACGTAGGGTTTAAATCCCTTTGTGATCTCTTTACTGGCTTTGGTAATGTAAGCTCTGGAGGTGGTGGAGATTGTCTTCAGGTCTGGAATTAGTGTCTCTTGGAACTTAGTGGGCAGATCTTTCAAATCCGAAACGAAATCATCGTCGTCATCTGAATCGATCCAGCTGGGCAGTTTCTGTTTCTTTGGTTTCTGCGGGCTGGCCTTCTGATTTTTACTGGGCTTGCTGGATTGAAGATCGCTGGATTTGGAGTTGGTTTGTTTTGCGGCGGCGGACTTTGTCGTCTTGTTCTTGGCGTCACTGGTTTTTGGAAGAAGATCCAAGGACTTCTTGCTGGAAATTGGAGCCGTTTTGGTTTTGGTGGAGTTTGAAGGTTTTGATGTGGAATTGAGCATCTTGAGCTTGGAAGTGGAATTGAGCTTCTTGAGGCCAGTGTCAACGAGCTTGGCTTGATTCTTGGAGTTGCTGGCTTTCAAGAGCTTGGTCTGGTTTTTGTAGGAGCTGACTTTCACGAGCTTGGTCTGGTTTTTGGTGGTGGAAAGATTATTGGATTGGATGGTCTTTTTGGTCGGGTTTTTGGAGGAGACATTATTGGATGGCGTGGTCTTGGTTTGGTTTTTGGAAGGGGACACTTTAGGCTTGATCAGCTTGGTCTGGTTTTTGAGGGATTGGCCCTGGCCGGTGGCTTTCTTTTTCGGCGGCGGATCTTCACCTTGGACCTCCATCATTCTTCTAATACCCGACAGTTGTTTGCTGTGAAGTTGGGAATGGGAGGAGGCACTGATACATGTAGAAAGAAAGAGAAAGAAAAGAAGAGAAAGCAGAATTATGTGCCTGGAAACAGAGTAGAGGGGCGGAGGTGGAGCCATTAGCGAGAACAATGGATAGTGGTTTCAAGATCTAGAACCTACGGGGCTCACAAAGTAGGAGCAGAGCCGTGGGATGCTCCCTACTTTATATGAAACTTGGAAGAGAGAAAAATGACGAAATAAATGACAAAAGGAAAACAAGTGAGGGGCCGGAAAGGACCTACCACATGGTGATGCCGCGACAAGACAAGGACACAATGTAGCTCTCTCTGCTCTGCGTAACCTTTTACTGCGTCTTATGCGTCGCAATTGGAAAACAGAACCGCTCTTGTCTGAAGTTCATGAAAGTTTCAACATTGTTTATCTCTTTTGAGGAAAAAAATGAAGGGAAATCTTTTGAAGTCTGCTTTAGCTAAGATTGAAGAGGAAGGAAGGTAAAAAAGAATTAAAAATGAGATCCATTTCACCTTTGACGGGAAAAATGAGAACCATCTTTGATGTTGTGAATTCCCTACGAATAGTATTCAATTATTCAGTCCTCTCTTCTTTTCTTATTTTGTTTTCATGAAATAAATAAATAAATAATAAAAAAGTGGATATTTCTTCTCATGGGATTTCGAAGAAGAGGCACCGCCCCTTATTTTCTCCTGAAATGATATTTTTTAAATAGATATTTAGATGGGTTGAATCCCCGAGTTTACTAATATTACGAGGAGCCTCAAAATTTTAAAGCAATTACAAACATATTTACGAATTATCCGCTAACATAATTCTAATGTCCACAATAGAATTAGCAAAATTCTAAAACTGACGATCCGATCTACGTTTTTATGAAATATAAGTTATACTTCTAATCAATTGACCAGTCTTTTTTTCTTTCTTTTGTGGTCGGGGACAACTTATCCTCAGTAAGCATCTATTTTATATTTGTGAAAACTAAATCTGGTACCTTCCCGGAAGGAAAAATTGCACGCCCCTGCAATTTTTTTAAGGCGAAGACACTCCAATTCCATTCAATTCATATTTCTGGGTGCTACCAGAATCCCTCATTTAACCAATCCGAAATATCACAATATATGGTTTTGCCAGTTGCTTAAATCTTGTCAATTGAAGTATGGTGCAACCTCATTGAATTCTTTCGTTCGAAGACAGGCACGAATAAAGATGCAGTGAATTTGGGCGGGGACAAATGTTAATGCGTGAAGTTTAGGAATAGAAGCTAAATGAATAAATAATCCTTTGACAGATGCAGTTCAAGTGTCTGATCAGTGCTTCGTCTACGTATCTCGACAATAATACCCAAAAAAAAAAAACAAAGAAAGAGAGTGGGAATTTATGATAGTCATGAACGGGGTCATTATTAATTATGCTACAGTGGAGACTGGGGATGGTAGTAACAAGGACCAGCACTGGTTTGCCGACACGATATGGTAATAGTTACTAACAAGGAAATTGATATCTCATGCAATTTATTACGTCAGCATCACTAGCTCCGACCCGGAATCGGGCAAACAAAGCGATTAACAACATACAGCTTCTAGACTTGTTGTCCGTGAAATGTGAAAAGCCATGCTTCCGTGAGACTGGGGAGGCAAGCACCTTTTAACAGATCTTAGGGGAGAAATTAAGCAGGAAGAGGATCTCAATAATTGAACTTGGATTTTGACATTTTATGATCGGAATCCCGCCGGAATTTTATCAAGGGGCAGTGAGAACACGGCCCCTCAAGTCTATGTATTTGACTCTAGTGACTTTCGGATCATGTCACGTTCAAGTTCAACTGCCCAGGAGAAGTAGGGGAAATCCAAAATCCAAAAGTAAATCAAATAAATAAATAAAAACTGCCTATTTGCTCAAAAACAATATTCATTACCTGCCGACTCAAGTCCATTTTAGGACCCTTTTCTTATCACTGCTCAGTGACATTTGTTTTTTCTCATTGCATTTTTTATCACTTGATCAACATAAAAATATTTTAGATGCACAAAATTAGTTTCTTTATTTTTCATTCCATTTCATTTGGCGTGAAGTGTTGAAGTTGTTACGATAATCTTATTTGATGGTGAGCCCTCTTAAAAAATTTCGAACACCCGAGATTTCGCAGGCAATTCTTTTATAGGCGACAAAATTTGAAAATAATATACTGGGCTCAGTGCAAATAGTCCGGGAGTAATTCAGTATAACTTCGTTGTTCCTTTTTTTTTTTTTTCTCCCTTTTCAGGGTGACAAAATCTCTGCCTTTTCTTTTTTACTAGCAGAAATTATTCCCCATCTCAATGACATGTGCTGCAGCACTGCCTTCCCGCTGGATGTAGCTGTGAATGTCCAAAAACACGGAAGTTCTTGCTAAATTGTGGAGATTAAAGGGTATGGTAAATTTTTTCTTACAAGAGGTATCATTTTGACTTATTATCAACAAACCGTATGTGTATTGACTCCCCCCCCAAAAATTTTTAATGACATAGTTCACATCTGCACAACACTAATCGTGGTACTAAAATACTGTTATTTATTATTTTCACGTAAATAGTTTTCTTTAGTCATTATTTTATTTTTGAATGGTTCTAAATTTACAAAGGAGCATTGTATAACATGTATAATCATATTTATTTAGTTTTAAATTTAATTGTGAACATGAGATATTCGGTTTGATTCATAAATGATTCACAGTAGTTATTAGTCGGCACAGAAGCTAGATCGATAATTGTTGTGGCACTTCGATGTATCAGGCATGGTTTCTCCAGGTAGAAATTTCGAACAAAAATCTAATATGCTGCATGTAATTTTTTTTTAAATATATTCATTTATTTTTATAATAATTAATTAGCCAACAAAAACCGAAGTGCGACTCTTTAGCATAAAATATCCTGAAAAAAAGATAGAGGCATGGGAGAAAAGGGAACGTAATAAGATTTCCTTTTCTTTTTTCCAAAAAAAAAAAAGGGAAAAGGTGAAGATAATAAATAAGTAAAGGGATCCTCAGAAAAGTCAACACTGAGGTAGTGAGGTGGCCCAATAAAAGTAGATCTGGGGAGCTGGGTCCCACTGTATTGCGGGATCTGCCGTATATAGGAGCTTGGGGAATCATCTAGTGTCTGGGTATGCGTGTGTTTATATAAATGCCATGAAAAAAAAAAAACTAGATAAAGAGTGTAAATAAAAATTTATTACTCCCTCCGTTTCTTATTATAAGAGACAAATAACCGAAGTACGTTGATAAAAAAAACAGTTAAAATTAGTTAAGAACAATTAATGTGTAAAAATTACTCCCTCCGTTTCTTATTATAAGAGAAGAATAACCGAATTACGTTAATAAAAAAAACAGTTAAAATTAGTTAAGAACAATCAATGTGTAAAAAGTATAATTTCTTTTTCAAAAATACCCTCATTAATAAAGAGAGAGAACAATAGTAAATTATTAAAAGAAAGAGAAGTGGGAAGGAGAGAGTGTGTGAGTTGGAGGCAATAAATATGGGTAAAATAGGAAATCAACACAAAAAAGTAGAAACAACTTTTAAGTGTCTCTTATATATAGGAACATGCCATAAGCATCAAATGTCTCTTATAATAAGGAACGGAGGGAGTATAATTTTTTTCCAAAAATGCCCTCATTAATAAGGAGAGAGAACATGAGAGAGAACAATTAAATTATTAAAAGAAAGAGAAGTGGGAGGGGGAGAGAGTGTGAGTTAGAAATAATAAATATGGGTAAAATAGTAAATCAACACAAAAAAGTAGAGACAACTTGTAAGTGTCTCTTATATATAGGAACATGCCATAAGCATCAAATGTCTCTTATAATAAGGAACAAAGGGAGTATTATTTATAAATTCAGTCTTGTCAATACTAAGTAAAATTATATTACTAAACCTAATTTAAAATTTATCATTTTTAACTTTTTTTTTTGCCATTCTCTCTTTTCAATACCAATATTTATTGGATCACATCTAAGCAATATTAGGGATCAATTGAGAATAAGGCACCGTTTGGATGCACTTGCAAACTATGGTCTGGAAGCCCAAACCATGGTTTGCACAAAATGCTATCCAAACACCCCATCAAAAACCAAAATCATGGTTTTGGCTCCAAAATCATGATTTTGAAAAAAGCAAAATTTTTTTGTTTTTGGAGAAAAAAGGGAGAGTGTGAGAGCTTATAGGATATGTATCTTGTTATTTTTTTTATAAACATATTTAATCTTATATTTTATAAATATATATACATATTAATTATTTATTAATTATATTATCTTATGTATTATTAATTATGTTAATAAAAAATATATTATTAATAATTTTATTCCTCTAAATTAAAATATATCATAAAATCTATTTTTTCTGTAATTATCATATTAATTTATTTATTTTTTTAGTAATTTGTATATATAAAAAGTACTTCTGATAACAACTATCCAAACACTCTCACTTCTCAAAATCACTTTTTCATAAAATCTATTCTCCAGAATCACTTTTTCAAACCACGGTTTGGTTTCATCCAAACATACCCTAAGTCTTTCTTGAACGTGTTTTTGTATGCACTCAAATTTTAAACTCGAGACTTTATACCTGTTTAAGCGGATACTTAATGCTAGTTGGCATAAAATGTTCATATCCATTGAAAACATATTTATATTTATTAATAGTTCCTATTTTAAATAAAAAATTTAGTTGCCTTACAAACAATATCTTCTATTTAGGATAAGGAGTAGCAGCATAAAATTTATGACTAAAACAACAGCTGGTCGTTTTTTTCGGGTAATAGTTTAAGATCCACTTGTTTAGTTCTACTTACTTTATTCCTAGGATCCGCGGCAGGAGAGATATAGATCCACTTGGATTTACTTATATGCTTTCATTATTTCATATATGGTGCCAGTATCTGCTTTTTTTTTTCGGTGTCAATTTACTATAGTCCTAGACTCCCTAGTCTACCATGCATTAGCGAGAAATGAAACTTGTGCCGGTTATTATTAAATTAACATCATTAAAAAAGAGGATAAAATGCCTCGTCTCACGTGCCAACTTGAAAATAGATCAGATTTTAGTAGCATATTGGTATTGGATTTTCGGGGCGTCATTCTGAAATATCTCAATCAACTCCGTCTGAAATGGACGAGGGAAGGAGAAAAGTAAATAAATGGGGTGAGAGAGGCTCGAACTCTCGACCTCAGGATCACTCAGAAGCTATGAGACCTACGCGCTAGCCAACTGCGCCACCACCCCCGCGTTGTTGGTCATCCAGCAACAACATATATTTACCTATGTTTAATATTAGAAGGCCCAAGCCACGAACCCGCTATCACTAAGAGAACGAAAGATCAACTGCGCATGTCTGTGTCTGATGCCAGGTCAAATTTTTGTTTTAACTTCATTTTGGATGGAATTTCAAGTAACACTGTTCTTTTAACAGTTACAAATTTATCAATACATGTACTCACGCAATTATACGAGATAGGACAT